CTTGACCAAAGTTGTTCCTCCTGGACAACTCCCATTGCCCTGTGTCACTGGGCACTTGTCCACAGCCTGGTACTGTGGCTCGTTGCTGCACTAAGGACTTTTTTTTTTCTGAGATTCAACGTGGTTAAATTATTTTTATCCCTGCTGGAGCCTGGGACAGCTCTTGTCTGTCAGCTCTTCTTGGCTGCGGCAGAAAAATCGTAAGGGGGGAAAAAAAATGACTGTCTGACAGCTACATCTTATTCTATTAGTATGTTTTAATTAGAACATGAGCAAGAAATGTGTTATGAATATTCATGCCCAGGGTTATTAAAATGCACAATTAATCTGTACGTGGTTTAATAACTGTATTAATGGCGAGAGGAGGTAGCTCCTATTTTTGTCTTTTCTCAACTGGAGAGTGTGCCTTAACTTGGGTAGCTGGGAAATGGGGTTATTTTAAAATCGAGTTGGCTCCTGCCAGCAGCGTGGGCACGTGGGCGTCTCCAAAACTCACACACCCTGCGCTGGAAGGGTGGCAGAGCCAAGAGCTCCAGCCCAGGGATGTGCTGGGATGGAGCTCACTCTGCAAACGTGACTGGGCTCGGTGCCAGGGGAGTTTTCAGTCACGGAATCATGGAATCGTGGAGTGGTTTGGGTTGGGAGGGATCTTAAAGCTCATCTCATCCTGCCCCCTGCCATGGGCAGGGACACCTTCCACTAGCCCAGGTTGATCCAAGCCCCGTCCAACCTGGCCTGGGACACTTCCAGGGATGGGGCAGCCACAGATCCTCTGGGAAACCTGGGACAGATCCTCCCCACCCTCACAGCCAACAATTCCCTCCCAATATCCCATCTCACCCTGCCCTCTGGCAGTGGGAAGCCATTCCCCTTGTCCTGTCCCTCCATCCCTTGTCCCCAGTCCCTCTCCAGCTCTCCTGGAGCCCCTTTAGGCCCTGCAAGGGGCTCTCAGCTCTCCCTGGAGCCTTCTCTCCTCCAGGTGAACCCCCCCAGCTCTCCCAGCCTGGCTCCAGGGCAGAGGGGCTCCAGCCCTCAGAGCATTTCCATGGCCCTTTGGACATGGTATCTGTTGGTGCTGTGGATTCTGATGGTTTTTGCCAGGATGGTCTGTGCTTTAACAGATCTGTGCCCCAGGCTGAGGCCGTTGGGAGCGAGGGCGATGCCCGGGGGATCTCCATCTCTCCTGGGGCAGCACATGAGTGATGCAGAAAACACATTGCCCGGGGCCCCAAGGTGCTTCTGCCCCTTCCCTGGGCACTTGGGTTGCCTCCAGAGCTGCTGGGAGGGAGGGGTCTGGGTGGGCTGCTGGGGTGCCCTTGGGTGAGCCCCGAGGACGCCGGCATGGGGCTGCCTGAGCTGTGGCCATCCCACACCAGCTTCCTTCTCCTCCCCCTTCTCCTTCCTCTTCCTCCATCTTCATCCAGCCTGGCTACTCAGTGCCAGCTGTGCCCAGGGGAGCACCAGGCTCGTGGGCATGGCCAGCACATGCCCCAGGCTGGGGAAGGTGTGACAGCGTTCAGGGGTGACCCCGTGTTCGGGGGCTTTGTGGTGTGAGTGGAGCAAACCCTGCTTTGGGAACTCTTCCAGAGGCACCTGCCCTTGGCCAAACACTGGGAATTCGCAGGGCTGGCAGAGGGCATTTGCTGCCAAATTGTAGATCCTTCCCAATCCGATGGGAGGGAAGAGCAGGCTGGCAGTGAGTGCAGCACAGATGCCAGACGTCGGGCGCGGGCAGTCTGCTTTCTCCTGGCTTCGTCCCAGAAATCCCTGAATTCTTCAAACACCTGCAGGCTGAAGATGGGAGGTTTTTGCCAGCACCTTTCACGCTGGTGGCTGCAGCCTGGGGAAGGTGTGAGACCTTATTTTCCAGGAGACATCAGACAAAGAGCTGGCATGGGCACCTTTGGAGGTGGTGGAGCCTTGGCTGCTTCCAGAGCCATGGGATGCTCTTTGCCACAAGGGTGGGACAGTGATAACCTCACTTCACCTTGGCAGCCACTGGAACGACCTGGAGAGTACAGGAGGTCTTTTGGGTGTCCTTAGGGGGTTACAGAATCACAGAATCCTGGAACAGTTTGGGTTGGAAGGGACCTCAAAGCTCATCTCATCCCACCCCCTGCCACGGGCAGGGACACCTCCCACCAGCCCAGGTTGTGCTCCAAGCCCTGTCCAACCTGGCCTTGGACATTTCCAGGGATGGGGAAGCCACAGCTTCTCTGGGCAACCTGTGCCAGGGCCTCCCCACCCTCACAGGGAGGAATTTCTTCCTAAAAAAGAAGGGTTGGTTTGCTGTGACCCCCTTTGTGGTCACAGAGGGACCAAGAGAGCAGCCCAGGACCTCGACACGCTCTGGAGAGCAGCTCATCCTCTGCAGCTGCCATAGGAGCACCCAGGGGGTTTGGCCCCTCTCTGGGGTCTCTCTGCCATGCTGGTGACACCACAGGGTGGGAGCAGCTTGTGCCAGGGGTTTCTCCTTGTTTAAGGGGTGTGTGAGCCTCCCCCTCAGCTTGTGTCACCTCTGCCACCCGCTGTCTCCTCTCCCTCCTTCCTTGGGGAAGCCTGGCAGGTTTATTTTTATTTTTTCAGGGATTTTGGCACAGAATCCCAGAATGGGTAAGGCTGGAAGGGACCCCAGTGGGTCATCTGGTCCCACCTCCCCGCTCAAGTAGGGTCATCCCAGAGCACACGGCACAGGATCGTGTCCAGACTGTTCTGGGATATCTGAAGGGAATAGCTGAAGGTTCTTGAATATCTCAAGGGATGACTCAAGTGAGGGAGACTCCACAAGCTGGGCAGAATTCACCCTGGGCTTCCAGGCAGCCCAGGGCTCTCCAGAGGCTGTGGTGCTGCAGTGCTTGTCCTTCAGCACAGAGGGACGGGTGTTCCAAGGATGTCCGAGCCTGCGGATCCCGCTCGTGCCTCCGCCCCGACCCTTGGGGAGCTTTAAAACCACCCGTGACAGCAAAATGACTCCAAGGAGCATTTTTTTCCTCCTGCCTCGCTGGGGTTTGCAGGGATTGCAGATGAATTGCTTTTGGAAAAACACATTAGCAAAGCAAAAGTTTATTCTAGGAAGTAGGAGGTGGGAGAATTGGCAGTAATTCTCCCCAGTATCCAAGGTATTATTAGAGGCTTATCCCTGCTCTGCACAGTAATCACATTGGAAATTTTTGATTAGAAAACAAAATCTAAATGAGAATTATGAATATTCATTAGGTGTGGAGATTAATATGCATAATTATGCAAATTAGACAGCAATTAAACACCAATTCTCTGGGGAAATGATTAACACAAAGGCACCGAAATAGAAGGATGTAATTTGAAAGAAGTTTCTGGTTAAATGAACAGTGAGGGGAGCGGAGGAGACAAATCCGTGGCATGTTTGCCATAATAATCAGCTTTGCCGAGCTGGAATGGGAGTGAGCCCTGTCCCCCTGCCCCTGCTCCGTGTCCTTGCTCCCACACACTCCCCATCCCACTGTCCCCACTGCTGCAGGCAGCTCTCTGCTCCCAGCAGAGCATCCTGGGGCACCTGGAAGGGCCATCCCTGCTGGCACTTTGGCTTTTGGAAGGGCCAGCACAGGGAGAGCCCCCGGGACCCCAGTGCTGCCACGGGGTGATCCTGGGTGCTGCCAGGGGTGCCACGTGTCACTCCATGAGTGTGGCCATGAACCCCTGCGTGGGGTTGGGGTTCCCGTGTTTGGTGGCTCCAGCCAGTGCCATCCACCCTGCTCAGCCTCCCAGGGGCTGGGATTTCTCCTTGCTGGTGTCCGTGCAGTGTCTCCAGGGATGATGCCCCCACCCTGCCCAGCCCCCTCTCAAATCCCTGGATTTAACCCCCCGAGCCTTTAAACCCCTGGTCACCCACCAGGGCGGGAGATGGAGCAGCACAGTCAGAAATGCTGCTGCCCAGTCAGGTTCAGGATGTTTTCCAGGGAATGCTCTTTCTGTGCAGTCGTGGTGTCAGCTGGAACTTCAGGAGCTTTGCTTATGCAACGCCCCAGGATTTTTGTGTCCTAGTGGGAATTTGTATCTCCCTGAAGGGATTCAGGAGAACTGGAGAGGGACTTTGGACAAGAACCTGAAGAGATAGGACAAGGGGGAATGGATTCCCACTGCCAGAGGACAGGGTTAGATGGGACACTGGGAAAAATTCCTCCCTGTGAGGCTGGGGAGGCCCTGGCACAGGTTGCCCAGAGAAGCTGTGGCTGCCCCATCCCTGGAAGTGTCCAAGGCCAGGCTGGACAGGGCTTGGAGCAGGGTGGGCTGGTGGAAGGTGTCCCTGCCCATGGCAGGAGGTGGAATGAGATGAGCTTTAAGATCCCTCCCAACCCACAGCATTCCATGACTCTCTGGCTCCCTGGGGTGCCTCGTGGGCCCAAGAGCTGCAGCCTGGGTGGACCTGGCAGGCGATGAAAGGAGCTCATTTCCCCCCACAGGCTGTGCAGGCTCGTTGCAAAACCCTCCTGGTTGGTCCTTTGCCATCTGGGTGAGATCCCCTTTTGCCAGGGATGTGCTTGGAGGGCTAAAGCTGAGATGAGCAGGAGTGTGCTCTGATGGGCCCCTGCTGACATCACACCTGGACACCGTGACCTTGTAGCTCCATGGACAAAAATCAGGTCCTGCTGGAGCACTGGGATGGGTGCACTGGGATGTTTTTGACTCACAGTCCTCTTCACCATCAGTCTGTGGGGGGAAGAGGTTGATGGGTGCTCTCTGGAATGAGGGAGTTAAAATACTTGTTTCTCCTCTTCCCACTGTCCCGTGTTTTGAAACATTTCCAGGCTGTGGTGGGATTTGCTTTGAAGTTTGTGGAATAAATCCCAGCAGGAGTGGGAAGGTGAGGAGGGAGAGGGGAGGCTCAGTCACGCCAAGTGGAAGTGGTTTATTAATGAAAATATTGTTTTGTTTGTAGAAGGAAGAGTTAATTTTACGAGAACACCTTTGAGGCTTTGCTGATAAAGCAAAGAGTAACCTTTGTTCTTCCTGTTTTTCGGTAGGCTTGGATGAAAGACCGGGATCAGGTTCCTGGGGAACGGGAGATCAAAACAGCTCCGCGTTTGACCAAGGAAGGGTAAGGACAAAGCACAAACAGGAGCTCCAGCCCAAACAAACGGGGGCTTTCCCAGGCCTTCCAGAGCATCGACCCTAACCCTGGAACAGCTTCTCTTGCCCCGTTTTGGACGTGGGTTCTGTGAACCCTGCGGGGGGGACAGCAGGGAGAGGGGCCTCCCATCCCCATCTCCCTGGGCTTTGCTGCCTGGAGAAGGTTTCTCCTCCAAAAACCTCCCCCAGACCCACACTGGGGTGGTCTCCCACGGCTGCTCAGGCATCTCCCCTCCCTGCACCCAGGGTTGGTGTGGGAGAGAGGTGTTCCTGGGTGGGGGTGGGACAGGGGTCCCACAGATGGGGTCACGATTGGGTGGGCTGAGGTTTCTCACCTGGTGACAAAGCTTTCTGGGCACCCACCACTCAAGGGAGACCAAGGGGGATCCACCACATCATCCAGCCAAAGTGGCCTTAGTGGGGATGGAGAACATGGGAAGGGTTTTGCAGGGAAGGAGTCGAGGCTGCAACAGCTCAGGACTTGGGCCTGGGGAGGGGAAGAGAGGAAAGAGATGAACTTAGTGGAAACAGTGTTATTTTGGCAGGTGCTCATGTTTTAATGGGTCTGTGTGATTCATTTTTGCAATGGCACCTTTCCCTCCCCTCTGGTCGGCAGCGGAGCTGTCGCTGTGCTGTCGGCTCTCATTTATATATTTAGAATTTATATATTTATATAAATATGTTAAAAAATCATGTTTATATTTATCCAGCCTTTTCTTAGCCCCTGGCTAAGGGAGAGCCTGGCTGGTTCCCACCTGGTGGGTGCCAAACTGCCTGAGAGCTGCAAACCATGGTGCCATGTCCCCTCCCAGCGCCACATCCTCGTGGCTGCACTGCCCAACTCTCCTTTGGCACGAGGATAAAACCCCTTTTTTTACAAGGAGCCTTTGACTTAGCCCCTGCCTGGGGGAGGCTGGGCCCTGACAGCCCCGTGTTTTGGGGTTTGGCTCCCCTGTAACTCTGGTGTTGTCCCAGCAGAGCTATGGCGAAGGCCCCCACTACGGCGAGCACCGGGACATGCCCTCCCACAACAGCATCTCCTCGTCACCCTTCCTGGGAGCGGGACTCGTGGGTAAGTGCCTCCCAGCTGCCTGGCAGGTCCCCAGGGCAGGGCACACGTGGCACAGGCTGGCCCGTGGTGGTGGCAGCGTTTGCATCGACCGGCGTTGCCGTTCCCTGTGTCGGACCTGCTCCGGGTGTTCTCCCAGCTGTGGCCCAGGGAGCTGGGATCCAGAGGGTTTCACCAGTGCCCAACCTGTGTGACAGCTGCCGTGTTTTGTGTGTGTGGTTATTTTTCTCTGCTTCACAGGAGCACCCAGAGGCAGTAGCAGAGATCAGTGCCTGACGTGCTGGCACAGGGCTGAGTGTGCTCCTGGGAGCTGGTAATCAGGGGTGGGAGAGCACCAGGAATGAGAGGGAGAGAAGAAACACTCATTGCTCATTGTTAAGGATTTAGGACAACATTAAGGATTTAGGATGACCCTGCTTGAGTGGGGAGGTGTGACCAGATGACCCCACTGTGGTCCCTTCCAACCCAACCCACTCGGTGACTTGGAAGGGGCTCGTGGCTGTGTCGCTTCCCAGCCTGGCAGCCCCTGCAGAGAGCTGGAGGTGCTCCCCTTGCTGCAGTGGGATTTGGAGGGGCCTCTTCCCTTGTTCTGCAGGGCTCCAGCAGCCCCATCTGACTCCCCCATCCCCAGCTCCAACTGGGCAGTGTGAGGAGCTCACAGGGACCGGTGAGTGCCGGAGATGATGATCCTGCGTGACCGGACGTGTGTGACCATTTACCCAGTTACCTCTCCCAGCTCGGGGGCGGGAGGAGAGATTAAGAGCAGAAAATATCCATCCTGAAGGGCTTAGAGAGCTCTAATGGCATTAGAGGTCAGGAATTGGGGTTAGTCCTCCCCACCTTTGCCCACGCAGGGCTGGTTAAACCCTCCGGCGCGTGCGGAGGGAGCGGTGCCGGGACAGGGCTCGCTCGGGGTGTGAAGGAGGGGTGAGAAGAGGGAATGGTGTTTGAAACGGAAAATCCCCCTCACGACAGGACCTTCCTCCTGCAGAGCTGGTGGGAAAGGGAAAGAGCAGAGCAGGGTCGTGCTGGGAAGGGAGCAGCCCCATGTTGGCTGCTCCTGGCTCAGGTCAGAGCGAGGGGCTCACTGTCAGCTCTGCTCCCCCCTTTCACCCCTCGTGCTGTTGGGGGCAGGTGTGTTGTGTGCAGGTGGAGGAGCATTTCTGAGCAGCTCCCCCATCCCTCTGCAAGAGTGGTTGTTCCTTCTCATTTCTGCCCCGGGAGGATGTCAGTGAAGCAGAGGAGAAGTTTCTGAGCAGGACGGGGGAGCCTCGATGCAGCTCAGCGGGGTTTTGGGGGGGTGTGCGTGGGGGGGCCCATCCCAGCCCATCCCACACCTGGGGCCAAGGCAGCCTTGAGAGTTTCCAGCCCAGAAGGAGCTGCCCGGGGAGGAACACGGAGGTTTCCCCTTTGATGTGTGCGGGGAAGACGCCTTTGGCTCCCTCTCAAAGCCGGGGCTCCCGGTCCTTGGCAGGCACCGCGGCGCTCCCGGCGCTCCCGGCGGGGCTGCCGGCCCGACCGGTCCCCGGCACGTGGAGCTGGAGCCTCCACGGCCCCAGAGGGTGGTTTCCAGTGGCTGGCCCTGGAGCTGAGGGCAATCAGTGGCCTGTGGGACAGTGGCCACGCTCTGTGCCCGAGGCTCGAGTGCTGTGTCCCCGCGGGGTCCTGACCGGGCGGTGGGCGCAGCACCGGGAGCTCCAGAGCCAAAATGGGGAACAGCCAGAGGGGTAAAGGGGTTCTTCACGTTTCAAAGTCCCTTTTGTTCCTAAAGTTGGGTGTGGTAAAGTAGAAAGCGTCGATTCCTGGAGCAGGTTCCAAAATACATAAATAAGATTTCATTGTAGAAACGTGGAATGGTTTGGGTGGGAAGGGACCTTAAAGCCCATCCAGTCCTACCCCCTGCCATGGGCAGGGACACCTTCCACTAAACCTGGTGGCTCCAAGCCCTGTCCAACCTGGCCTTGGGCACTTCCAGGGGTGGGACAGCCACAGCTTCTCTGGGCAACCTGTGCCAGGGCCTCCCCACCCTCACAGGGAATTTTTTCCCAATATCTAATCTAAACCTACAATGTAATCTAAACCTGCTCATGTGCTGCTGGACCCAAGGAAGACCATGGGACCGATTTTCTCTTCCTCTTTTCCAAGCTGCTTCTGAAAGTTTTTCAAGTGGCCAGATGGTGAGGGATAGGGGAGAGGAAGGGGCAGTGCAAAATAGTGCTTTTGCATGCAGGAGTGTGAAAGCAGTGGCAGAATGGGAGGGAAGGGAGAGTTTTGGAGATGTGTCACTTCTGATTTTGGAGAAAAGCCATCAATGTCCCCCTGGGCTGGGAACCTCACTCCAGTGGGGAACTTGAGTGGAATCAGAGAATTTGAAAATTGGAGGAGGTGGAGGGAGCAGATGAGGATGAACATGTTCTGGTACTCTGTGGATGAAAGGTGTGTGAGACACCTGAGCCCTTCTCCAAAATCAGAATTTGTGTCTCTTTCCCACTTGATCTCTCTCTTCAAGAAGGATCAAGAACTGCTGAAAGAAACGTTTTGGGTGGGATATGAATGACCTGTGTTGGCAGTGGTGGGCTTGGCCAGCTAGAGATGGAGGCTGAGCTGAAAGGGCCCCCCAAAGACAGTGTGGGCTTTGGCTTCCCGTGCTGCTGTAGCTCTGAGCACAGTCATGGTGGTGCTGGCCTCCCCCTGGGACCCCTGTCCTCTGGATTTGGGGTTCCTGGAGTCAGTGCATGTCCCAGGGCCAGGCTGCAGCCCCCCATCCTCTGACAATGGGCTCTAGGGACAGCGAGCACCTTCCCAGGGCGCGGGGACACTGCTGGCCAGGCAGCACTTGTTGGGGAAATGGAGCAAAATGGTGATTTTTGTGGCTCTGTTTTCCACATGGAAAAAGAGACTCCTCTCTGACCAGGCTTTTGGTGGGCTGAGGAGCTCCTGCCAGCCCGAGCTTTGAAACAATCCTTTCCAGAGTGGAGATTTCACCTGCCCCTGCAGGCTGGTGGCGTTTTGGGGCCGTGAAGTGGCCGAGGAGGATCCCGGGTGCAGCCTGTGCTCCCCTTCCCTCTTGAGCTGTGTCACCACTCAAACTGATCTGACATGAGCAGAGGGCAAGGAGAGAGATTTAGAAGCTGCAGGGTGGGGTGGCCCTTTGGATAGAGGAGCAGTGGAACATGTGTGTTCATCCAGAGTTCTTCCCGGTGTGTCCCTGCACCGGGAGATGGCTTTGAAAACTCCGTGGGCAGAAATCCATGAAAAAGGCAGGGCTGGAGGGATTTGCCTGGCCCAGGAGAGAAGGAACATGGGTGTGAGTTCAGCCAGAGTAGGGCACTGCCAGCACATCCCCAAAATCCCTGTGAGGCTGCGGCCCTGCCCCTTGTTCCTGTCCTGGTGGGTCCCTTTGCCATCACCCCCCCCCCCTGTGCCCTCCTCCCCTGCCCAGAGTCCCCTCCTGGAGCTGTGAGGAGGGGGCTGCTCAGCCCCTGGGGCAGAGCTGGGGCAGCACAAAGCTCTGGTGCACAGGCCAGGCAGATTTAATCCCTGCTGTTCCCTGTCATTCCCTACAAGCAGGCAGTGATCCCAGCAGTCCTGGCATGGGAACAGCATCCCCAGAGGGACAGGCACTGCCTGCTCCTCACTGCAGCCCTGCTCCAGCCCAGGCCTGGGGTGGTGTCCCTGTGGACTGCAGGGTGCACACCTCATCCAAAGCCAGTTTGAAAGGAAGAGCACTGAAATGTGTTCAGCTCAGACACAGAGATGTTGGATTTGGCCTCGTGGATGTTCTTTTGTTGAACATCCAGCGTCTGGCACGGTGGGATTTGCTTTGGGAGGCCCCTGCAGCACAGAGCAGGGAGGGGCTGCCCTGGCATGGGACCTGGGGGAGCTGCTCTCAGAGCTGACCTTCCTCTGCCCTCAGGGCTCCCCCAGAGCTGGGGGTGATGCCTCTCCTGCACTCAGGGACAATGTGAGGGGAATCTTCAGTCTCTGCCACAGCTTCAGCTCCACGAGGGGAGGGGGAAAACCAGAGCTGTGTGCAGGACTGACTGGGCAGGGAGCTCTGGGCTGTGCTGCACGGGGATGGGATCACCTGAATTTAAAAAAAAAAGAAGAAAGTGAATTAGAAAGTGTCCAAAGGAGGGACACAGAGTTGGTGAAGGGTCTGAGGAGTGTCTGGGCACTGCTCTGGGACCAGGGACAGGACCCAGGGAAGGGCTGGAGCTGTGCCAGGGGGCTTGGGATGGATCTCAGGGAAAGGTTCTTCCCCCAGAGGGTGCTGGGGCACTGCCCAGGCTCCCCAGGGCAGTGGGCACGGCCCCAAGGCTGCCAGAGCTCCAGGAGGGTTTGGACAATGCTCTGAGGGACAGGGTGGGATTGTTGGGGTGTCCTGTGCCAGCCCTTGGGGCTGCTCCTGGAGGACAAAGGACATCCTGAGGACATCTGAGCATCCCAGCCCAGGGTGTGGAGGGGTGACAGCAGGGTCCCTGGCTCTCCCAGGGTGGTGCCAGCACACAGCATGGTGACAAACCAGCTTGGCCCAGAGGATGAGGAGTGTGAGAAGGGCTTTTCTGTCTGTTTGAGATCACCAGCTTCACAATTTACTGTTCATCTTCAGCAGGGGCAGGCAGGGAGGGGGTTGGTTAAACAGTGAGGAAACTGATAAGCCATAACAGATTTCTTTCTAGTAATTATTTCTAGTAATTAGCTGCCTTTCAGAGCAGTGTTTCTAATCGAGTGGGTATTGTCAGTGCCTGTGGATTGGGGTCTTCCTGGACAATGGCTTTAATGGGGGGGTTGTTGCTGCTCCTGGGTTTTTAACTTTTTTTTTTCCCCTCCCCCTTTTTAATCCCTGGCTGGGTTTATCCTCCCCTTTTTCCCCAGGCTGGAACTCTAATGGAATTATCTCTAATGGTGCAGGGCTGGGGGAGGCACATGGTGGGTGGTGAGTGGTGGGAGCTGCAGGGGCTGTTTCAGGGATGGGTGATGTGGGGGCACTGGGTTTGCCAGCAGGTGCTGGAAAAACTCGTAGGCAGCACTTAAATACCTTTCCTTGAGATGTCCTGTGCAGGGCCAGGAGCTGGACTCTGGTGATCCCTGTGGGTCCTATCCATCCAGGACATCTGTGAGTGGGGAGAGCCACAAGTTCATTTACAAGCAGTTTGCTCCCATGAGGGTGAAATGCTGCCACAGTCCAGGTGCCAAAGCCAATCCCTGTTGCTGCCAGAGCTGGTGGGAACCTCGGGAAAGAGCAGTTTTGACTGTGCCACCTTGTCCCGGGGCTCAGGAGCAGATGTGCCTTTGGGAGGTGTGGGGGGTTCTCTGGAGAAGTCCTGGGTGAGGGCAGGGCCTGGGGGAGGCTTTCCTGAGCCTGGCACAGCTGGATCCTGCAGGAGGGAACGTGCTGGGGAGAGGAGAGAGGCTGGGAAAAGGCTTGTTGAGCATGGCTGAAGGCAGCACGGGCAGGGGAGGGGCAGGGGAAGGGGGTGGCAAGGGGCAAAGGCAGGAGGGGGGTGCCAGGACTCCCAGCAAGGGAATGCCGGGAAGAGCTGGAAGTGCTGAATGCTCCCAGCCAGTTTCTGGATGCACCTTGCTCGAGGTGCCTCCACAGTGCTTCACCTTGGCATGTTAAAATTTGCAGAGGTAAATCCCACAGAGAGGATTTCCAAAGGGAACCCCTTTCCTCTTCAAGGGATTTATTCCCAGCATCTTCTGATCTCTCTCCCACAAGATCCCTTAACACCCGTCTGCAGGATTTCAGTAATTCCGTCGGGAGCAAGATGGCATTGGGGGAGATTCCTGGGGGTTTCTTTGCCTCCATCCTGGTCCCTGCCTCCTTTCTGAGCCTTTGCCACCTTTCCTGGCCGGTGCCCTGGGCTGTGGCTGCCAAGGGGTGACCAGGGTGACTCGGGGTTTGCTGCCTGTGCCGGTGGCATCTCCCTGCCCGCAGAAACAGCTCCTTCTGCTGGCAGGTTCAGCTGCTTCCTGCCCCACTTGTGGACTTCTGGAATTGCAATAGGCTGAGTTACCAGCCTGGAAAGGTTTGTCATTCTCTTCTCTGCCTTGTTTTCGTAGGAAATTAGATGTAGAATTTCTACTGCCGAGCTTTTTGCTGCTTTTCCCCTTGTTATGTGATGACGGAGGGCGCAGGAGCTGGGGCTGGTTGGGGGCTGCCCTCTATTTCCCAGTCTCCCACATCCCAGGAGGCTCCCACTGATCCAAGCGTGCAGGAGACACTGACACCAGGCACATTAACCAAGGAAGGCATTAGAGGCCATCCAGAGAAGGTGGTGGGTTTGGAGCAGTGCAGTGCAGAGCTGGCCCTGGGTTCAGAGAATCCCAGAATCTCCTGAGCTGGGAGGGACCCACAGAGATCATCCGGTCCAAGTCCTGCCCTGCCCAGGACACCCCAACAATCCCCCCCTGTCCCTCAGAGCATTGTCCAAACGCTCCTGGAGCTCTGGCAGCCTTGGGGCTGTGCCCACTGCCCTGGGGAGCCTGGGCAGTGCCCCAGCACCCTGTGGGGGAAGAACCTTTCCCTGAGATCCATCCCAACCCCCCTGGCACAGCTCCAGCCCTTCCCTGGTCCTGTCCCTGGTCCCAGAGCAGAGCTCAGTCCCTGCCCCTCCGCCTCCCCTCGGCAGGAGCTGCAGCCCCCGAGGAGTCTCCCCTCAGTCTCCTCTGCTCCAGCTGAACCAGCCGAGTGCCCTCAGCTGCTCCTCAGACCCTTCCCCATCCCCGTGTGCTTCTTTTGAACACTCTCCAACATCCTTCTGACATTGATTAGATGTTTCTGACACTGTGGCCCCCAAACAGCCCCCAGGACTCGAGGTGAGGCCGCCCCAGGTCAGAGCAGGGTTGGACAATCCCCTCCCTGGCCCGGCCGGCGATGCTGGGCCTGATGCCCCCCGGGACAGGGTGGCCCTTTGGGCTGCCAGGACACTCTGCTGACTCAGATCCAACTGGCCACTGACCAGGACCCCCAGGGCCCTTCCTGTGGTGCTGCTCTCCAGCCTTTTATTCCCCAGTCTATCTGTGCATCCAGGGCTGCCCCATCCCAGGGGCAGGATCCAGCACCTGCCCTTGTTAAACATCTCATGGTTGGGGATTGCCCAAACTTCTCAGCCATGGCCAGGAGCTCTGTGGTTCAGCCCAGGTTCTCTGGTGATGGCTGAGGCTGATGGAAGGGGGTTGGAACAACCTGATCTAGTGGAAGGTGTCCCTGCCCATGGCAGGGCTGTGGAACAAGATGGGCTTCAAGGTCCCTTCCAACCCAAACCAGTCAGTAATTCCATGATTCCCAACTCCAGCCAAGGTGTGGAAGAAGCAGTGTGTTATCAGATGGGAGGTCTGGCTGCTGCTGTCCAGCCAAACCCACATGGCACTACCCTGCTTTCCCTCTGCTGTAGGAGTAACTGTGACCCACCTGATGCCACAACCTGCTGAGTCCTCTGTAGCGTGGCCAGTGCTGCGGCAGCTCCAGCCCTTAAGCTCTTTTAGAAATTAGGTCATTTAGGGGATCCATCCTCTGACATCCTGACCTTTGTTTACTTAACGTTTAAGCCTCTGAGGGAACAGCAGCAGTGCCAGGTGTGCCCGGCTCCTGCTGGAGGTGAGGGCTGGGGGGTGCTGGTGTTCCATGACCTTCCCATCGGGAATGGGGGTCTGGGCTTTGGGGATTGCAGTGGGGGAACCAACTCTGAAGTTTTTGGCTCGAGTTCAAGGCCTCCATGGTAAGGTTGCAAAATGAGCAGCCTCCTCTCTCTTCCCATCTGGCACAGGTTGCCCAGAGCAGCTGTGGCTGCCCCATCCCTGGAAGTGTCCAAGGCCAGGTTTGACGGGCCTTGGAGCAATGTGGGACAGTGGAAGGTGTCCCTGCTCATGGCAGGGGGTAGAACTGGATGGGATTTAAGGTCTCTTCCAATCCAAACCAGTCTATAAAGTTCACGTGGGCACTGCTGGCACAGGGCTGCTCCCATGTGGATCCCAGTTGGCAGCAACGCTCCGGCTGTGAGGAACCCACGGGCCAGGAGGAGTCTGCCTGGTGGGACTGAACAGAGGCAAGGAAGGGAATGCTTTCCTATTAATCCCTGCTCTTCAGATCTGGATGGGGTTTGGAAAGTTGAATCTCCACCAGGAGAGGGGGAGAAGGTGACCAGTGCATTGTAAGGGAGCAGGAGCTCAGCTCTCGTGCTCCGGGATTGTATTTCCTGTTGTCTGGAAAGCGCCTGTGGAGTCTGGTCACTCATCCTGGCGCTTGGTTTGCTCCGTCCCTGCCTCTGCCAAGTTCAGCTGGCTGGATGTGAGGTGTCTGCAGGGATTTTTTTGGCTCTGGGCTGACACTGGCAGTTTCCATGGCCACAGGCACTTCCCTGCGCCGCTGCAGCGCTGGCTCTCGGTGTTTGTGGACCCGCTCTCCCTGAACTTAAAGCGGCTCCTGTTTCAGCACAAGCTTTTTTGGGAGGCTGTCACTGCCATGGGGGGCAGAGGGAGCTGCCTCACAGAAACAGGCTTTGCCCCTCAGCAGGGCCCGGGTGTTTGGGGGCACACAAAACACGTCCCCCTCTCTCTTACCCAAACCCTTGTCTTCTCTCTTCTCTGCAGGGAAGAGCAGTGACAGAGCCTCGTACTCCACGTTTGGAAGAGACACAGGGATGCCAGGACTAAACCAGGTAATGATAAAATGCAGGGAGGTTTTTCTGCTTGATTTGCTGGCTCCCAGGAGTGAGAGCCTGTGAATAAAACCAGCCTGGGGTTTGCATCTCACCTCTGTGCACTGGGTCCCGGAAAGCCTCTGCTCTGCTCCAAAACCTCTGTGGAGTGTCAGGAGTTCACACGGGCGTGTGTTGCTGGCTCAGAAGAGTTGTCAGAGGTTAGAAAATGTTGGTTGTAGCAGCTTCTCACTTCTTTTCCAAACCTCTTCAGTCAGGCTCACTTGTTTTGTTATTGTTAATCCTGGCTTGTATTTAATCAGCCGTGACCCGGCTACGCTGTCTTGGTGGGGAGTTCCAGTGAGTCAGATCCAAGCAACACCTTTCCCTGTGCCAGGGTGGCCAAGGAAGGCATCTTCTCCCTCCTGCTGCCTGCCCTGGGGCTCTCTCTCTCTCTCTCTCTCTCCCTCTCCAACCCAAAAATCCCCCAGTACCCTGTGTCCCAGTTTAGGGGAGGGAGATTCCATGAGATGGTTTCTGTGCTGTTGTATCATCATTTCAGTGACTGTTGGGCAGTGTTTGTGTTTTATGGTGGGGACCCACAGCCAAGTTGTGTGTTCAGCTCTGGGGCACCAACATCAGGATGTGGAGCTGCTGGAGAGAGTCCAGAGGAGGCCACAGGGATGCTGCCAGGGCTGGAGCCCCTCTGCTCTGGAGCCAGGCTGGGAGAGCTGGGGGGGTTCACCTGGAGAAGAGAAGGCTCCAGGGAGAGCTGAGAGCCCCTTGCAGGGCCTAAAGGGGCTCCAGGAGAGCTGGAGAGGGACTGGGGACAAGGAAGGGACAGGACAAGGGGGAATGGCTTTAAGCTGAAGGAGGGCAGATTTAGGTGGGATATTGGGAAGGAATTCTTGGCTGTGAGGGTGGGGAGGGGCTGTCCCAGGTTTCCCAGAGAAGCTGTGACTGTCCCATCTCTGGAAGTGTCCAAGGCCAGGTTGGACGGGGCCTGGAGCAGCCTGGGCTAGTGGAAGGTGTCCCTGCCCATGGCAGGGGGTGGCACTGGATGGGCTTTAAGGTCCCTTTCAACCCCAGTCGTTCTGGGATTCCATGATCTCCACAATCCGGGAGGGACACGGTGGCAGAGCCGCCTCTTGCAGCCACAGCCCGGCCCCGTCGGGTCACCCCGTGTGAACCCCGGGCTGTGCTGGGGGAAGGACTCTCTTCCTGTGGGGAATACCACAGGCGTAAATCCGAGCCCGGGAACACGGGCCAGCAGCCCTGGGATAATCTTCCCTGCTGCCACCAGCCTCCAGAAATAGTTTTTCGGGAAGGAGCGAGCACCTCTGCTTTGATGTGTGGCTCCAAGTGCCCCGTCAGTGCCCAGGGTGGCTCCGGGGAAACAGTCCCACCGTTTGATCCACGGGAGGAGCTTTTGGCCGGACAGCTTTTATTTCATCCGTGTACACACACGCACACATGACATGTTTTAATTTTACACAAATTGGTCATAATTTCCTCCTCTCTGAAGTGAGGATGTTTCCTTTGCTGGAGCAGCTGTGCTGGCTGTGCCAGAGTGGATTTCATTTACCACTGAAGCTGCTCAAACAAAACCGGGCCCGGTGCCAAGTGTTGCTTTTGGATGTGATGGTTTTGCTGGGCTCTCGTGGAGGAGGGGAGATATAAGGTAACAGAAATGGGGGGGGAATGGTGCTGCAGGGCTCTGGATCGGGTGGCAGATCCCATTTGATGTGAGGGGGAGACAAAACCCCCTTGTGTGGGGCTGGGGAGGTGAACGGAGCCAGCTGTGACCCCCAGAGCAGTTGTTGCTTCTGGCTCCCGTTTGGGGGAGTGAGGGGAGGGTTGACCTTTTTTTTTCTATTTTTGAAAAGATGAAAAATGTTCTGGTGGAGATGCCCTGGCTGGGATAGCAGGTTCTTCCCAAAAACACTCTGCTCCGAGGCAGAGCCGTGGCTTCCTCCTTGTTTAACTCTGAACCATCTCCAGAGGCATCTTGAGGGAGAGGGAATGGGAAGAAAACCCCTTTCTCTGGGAAATGGCCTTAAAATCCCAGAGATGCCCATGGGAGGAGCTGGGCAGCAGCTCCCGGGATCCCTCTGGGCTGCTTTCCTTGGCGGAGCAGGTCCGGTGTGACGGTAACCTGAGCGCTGGAACAGATTGCAGGAATGTCACCAGCTGTGAACACACGAGCTCCTCTTTCCCTCCCTGACCCCTTTCTGGAGGAGACGGAGTTTGAAAGCAGAGGTTTTTTCTTTCCAGTTTCTCAAAAGCCTGAAATCCTTCTTTATTTCCCCGTGTTGCCCTCGGAAGATGGGTCAAAGCCGAGCTTTTGGGACTTGAAGGCCCTTTGCCAGCCCTGAGCAATTCCATGTAAATACACAGAACTTCCTCCCGAGGTGAGGGGGGCTGGAAAGGCAGGATTGCTCCATCCCAGGAGGGAGAGAGCACCCTGGGCTCCGGCTCCCCCAGCTCTGCTTCCCAGCCTGCCCAAGGTCAGCCGGGATAAACACGGGGGAGGAGTTTCCTGGTTTTAGAAAGAGGGATTTGGCTTTTCTCTGATAAAACACAAGAGAAAACCACCCCGAGCAGCAGCAGCAGCTTGTTCCCAAGCAGGACTGGCCCATGTCTGGATGTACCTGGGAATAAACCATTTTGCTTTTGCCAAAGGCTGAGCTCAGGTGTGAGTTTAACTTTGGAGGGAAGACAAGCTCCAGTTCCCCAGAAGTTGTGTTTCTTGTCACAGTTCCCCCTGCACCCTCCAGAATCACTTTCCTGCTGCTATTTTGGGCTTTCCCAAACAAACAGAATTGGTTTATCCCGCCCTCCTGGGCAGCAGGTGAGCTGGGACCACGATGCTCCCCATGATGGCACCTGCTGGTTTTCCTCCTTGGCTTGCAGGGGTTCCTTGCTGGGGTCCTGCAGGAAAACAGAAGCTGAAAGACCCTCTTGTTCCTCCACACCTACCCCATACCTCCACCCCCATATTTACGGGTTTGTTTTCCCTTCTGGCCCCTTGGCTTGTGTTTATTTTTCCCCTCGGCTGAGTTGGTGGGAAGGTGTCTCAAAGCAGCTCTGTTCTCTCCCAGCGAGTCGTTTTTCCAGCGTAATTCCATGGAAGGGCTTCTCTCTCTCCTTGTTTGCAGGCCGGGTTCCTGCCCAGCGAGATGGGAATCGCCAGCCCGAGCACACTTTCCCCCACGGGGGGCAAAGGAGGGTCCCAGTATTTCTCTTACCCCAACAATCCTCGCAGGAGAGGTGCTGAGAGCAGCATTGGTGAGTCCCCACGTGCCACCCCCGGGTGCCACCGCGCTGGTCTTGTGCCACAGCTCGAGGGAACCTCAGGGATGTCACCCTGAGGGCAGGTGCCCTCGTGGGATCTGCCTTTGGGAATGAGGAACTGAGGCTGGGAATGAGAACAGGGGTGTTGAGGATGACAAACTCATGTTGCCACCTGTGTGTACCCGGCGTGACTTTGGCATTTGGGTTTTTTTGGGGAGGGGAATGCATAGAAATATCTCTATATATCTGTATAGAGATGTCTAACTTTAAAAAAATGAAGGGCTCAGAGCCAGGTGGAATTTCCTTCTTCCTGGAAAATGTCAGGTTAGCTGAAAGCAGCAAATGGCTCGAGGTTCTTCTCAGAACACCTCCAGCCACACTGCATATCACTAGTCATTCCTGGAAAACCTTGAAGTGCCTTGGCATTCTGTTTTTCTGGCCAGTGGCCCTCCCTGGAGCCCAGGAACGGGGTAGCATGAGGTCCAGACATTCTGCCAGGACATGGGAACTGCGCCCTGGGACACAGGGAATGTTCACTCTCTCCCTGCCTGCTCCACAGTTCCCAAGCAGGATGGGAACTAATGGGAATAAACCATTTTGCTTTTAGCAAAGGCTGAGCTCAGGTGTGAGTTTAACCTTGGAGGGAGGACAAGCTCCAGTTCCCCAGAAGTTTTGATTCTTGTCACAGTTCCCCCTGTACCCTCCAGAATCACTTTCCTGCTGCTCTTTTGGGATTTCCCCAGCAAACGAAACCAGAAGTGACTCTGTGTGATGTGCTTTTCAGAAAAAGGCAGTCCCCACCCATTTTCAGCCTGGAAAATGATTCTTCTGTGTTCTATGGGATGAATTTCTCCTCCAGAGAAACATCTCAGCAGAGTCCCTCGCTGTGTTAGCACCCTGCCCCCCCCCAGCCACAGCCTTCCTTAATTATGACAAATCATGACCTTAATTATGAAAAATAATAAATAATAATGATGAGAAATAATGATATTAAAAGTAGAAATTAAGAAAATATCAAATTAAACTATCAGAAGCACTGGTTGTGCTTCCCCTTGAGCCACTCATGATGTTTCCCCACCACCTCCCTGAATTGTCCCCCCCCCCAGGACACTGTCCCTCCAGAGCTGGACCTGGAGGGATGTGCTGGGGGCTGGTCCTGGGAAGCACATCCCTGCTTCCTGCAGCAGTGAAGCTTTCCCAAGTATATCCTTATGTAAAGAGAAATGAAAATACAACCCAACCCTGCACGTGTTCCCTTTCTCCACAGACCCACTTCAAGTTAAATTGTTTCCCAAGAAAACCCCAACGAGGGTTTATAACATTAAATATTATTACATTTATGGGCTTGTTCTCTCCCAAGGAGCCCTTCCCTGTGGGGTGACACCTCTTGCTGCTCTGGGATCTCTGTCTGTGGGTGAAACCTGCCCCCAAAAGGTGCAGATGAGGTTTGGAGAGGTTCATCCTCAGACATTTTCACCGTTGATGCTTCCTTGGCTGTGGAACATTTGGGATCTGAGCCCTGTCTGTACCTGCAGCTTCCAACCCTGGAGACTTTTGCTGTAGCTGCTTTTTCCCTCCCACTAAGCCCCTTCAAAACTTAGACCCTCTCTTCTCTCCCCTAACCCAGATGGACAGCCCAAAAAGGTTCGGAAGGTGCCTCCTGGACTCCCCTCCTCGGTAAGTGCCGGCAGCGTGTTCCCCGCAGGTGCCTCCTCCCTCCCTTGGGAATCATCCCAATCCTGGGAGCTGCCCGGGTCCTGCAACCCCAAACATCGAGGGTTTGGATTTTAGCGGGATGGGGAAGGGTTTTCCCAGCTCCCAGAGCAGGAGAACGGGGAAGTGATGCGAGGGGAGCTCCTTAGGGAAGGAGCCGCAGCATTCCCGGTGCGGGGGCACCTCCCCAGCCGAGCCCTGAGCCGTGGCCTCCTGCCCCGCGGCCTCTGCTCTGTTTGACGTTATGTCGCGAGTGAAACGCGATCCTCGAGGGGTCGGATTTCACTCCAGAAGGGAAACCAGCGCAGTTGGAGCGGGGCGGGCAGCTGGGCCCGCTCCAGGTGTGTGTGCACTGCCCGGGCTGCGCTCTGGGAAAGCTGAGCAGCCTGCAGGAATACAGGAATACGCTCTCCCTGCTCCCGCGGCTGTTCCGGGGGAATAGACTGAACAATGTCCTTGTGGCTGCAAGTAATGGGATCTCCAGGAAAACTGATTGGAGTGGGCTGGAGGGTTCCTGCAGGAATACGGGAGCTGTCTGGCGGCCGAGGCTGCATTCCTGGCTGGAGCGTTTGCGTGCTTGGAGGGGACAGGATGGCTCTGTCCCCAGGGCTCTGTCCCCAGGGTGCTGTCCCCAGGGTGCTGTCCCCAGGCTCTGTCCCCAGGGTGCTGTCCCATGGGCTCTGTCCCCAGTCTCTGTCCCCAGGCTCTGTCCCCAGGCTCTGTGCTCAGGGCTCTGTCCCCAGGGCTCTGTCCCCAGGGCTCTGTCCCCAGGCTCCATCCCCAGGGCTCTGTCCCAGGGCTCTGTCCCCAGGCTGAGGCTGTGCCCTTGCCCAAGTGTGTCCTGTCACTCTCTGCCAAAGCTGGTGCTGGTGCAGTGCTCCCCCATTCCCCAGGGAACACCCCCATCCATGGGGGAGGTCTGTGCAGTTGCATTCCCTGGCTGCTGGCACAGAGCTGTAACCTCCACCACAGGCTCTGCCTTTGGAATTGCACCCTGAGATGCTGGTTTGGGAGGATGGAGGGGGAGGAAGGCGCTGAGGGCTTGCCAGGTCTGGGCTCACAGTCTGGAGGGTGTTGACGGGTCCGTGTGGATCCGCATGGTGCAGAAACCAGCTCCAGTGAGCAGGGCCAAGTTGCCCCAGGTCTGTGTTTCACCAGGGAAAACCTGCTCAGAGCAGAGTCCGTGTCGCTGCCTCGAGTTTCTGTGTGAAATGTGGAGCTTTTAAAGCCCAGACGACATGTGGGGAAAACATCACTCCCAACAAATGGCCTTTATTGGCCTCGGATTTCAAAGTGCTGGGACTGGACCCGTCCTGCTGGCAGTGCCCGGGAGGGCCCCGATTCCCACAGGAAAAGCCACTCGGCATTTGCCAAATCCCAGCCCCTTCCCTGTGTGAGCCAACACCTGCACGGTGGCCTTTCATAGGGTGGTTTGGGTTGGAAGGGACCTTAAAGCTCATCCAGTTCCACCCCTGCCATGGGCAGGGACACCTTCCACTAGCCCAGGTTGCTCCAAGCCCCGTCCAACCTGGCCTTGGACACTTCCAGGGATGGGGCAGCCACAGCTGCTCTGGGCAACCTGTGCCAGGGCCTCCCCACCCATGAGGGTGAATTTCCTCCTCACGTCTCCCCTAAATCTCCCTCCTTGCCCTGGCTGGCACCTCGGCTGCCCCTTGATGCCAAAGCTCTGATTTCTGGTGCTGCCTCTTTCCCTCACCCTCCCTGTGCCGTGAGCTCTGGCTTCCTGGTTTGTTTTTGAACTTCCACACCTGGGGAGAGAAATCCGTGCCAAGGCGGCGGGAGAAGTGTGAAGCAGAAGGAGTGGCCTCAAAGGCAGCGGATCAAAGGCTCTTTCTTGTCTGACTCGCCCGTGCAGGAGCCCGCCCTGTGTTATCACTGGACCCCGTGCAAAATAAATAGGTTAATCAGCATCTTATTAAAATGAAGTACTTTAATCTGTAATTCCCGAGCTGCTTTGAAAACTCGCCGAGGTCAGCGGCTGGAAGGGCTGGGGGTGGCTGGAGGGGGAGTGATGATGCCAAAGGCACCGAGAGGCACCAGCAGCGTGAGGTGGTTCAGGGGGAATGTGAGGGGCGATGCCAGGCAGGGATGGGCACAGAGAGACCTGTTCTGGTAACCTGCAGCCTTTGGGCTCAGTGCTCACATCCCAAGGAGGGCACAGAGATGCTCCAAGGGCTGGAGCCCCTCTGCTCTGGAGCCAGGCTGGGAGAGCTGGGGGGGTTCACCTGGAGGAGAGAAGGCTCCAGGGAGACCTGAGAGCCTCTTCCAGGGCCTAAAGGGGCTCCAGGAGAGCTGGAGAGGGACTGGGGACAAGGGATGGAGGGACAGGACAGGGGGAATGGCTTCCCAGTGCCAGAGGGCAGGGTGAGATGGGATACTGGGAAGAAATTCCTCCCTGTGAGGGTGTTGAGGCCCTGGCACAGGTTGCCCAGAGCAGCTGTGGCTGCCCTGGAAGTGTTCAAGGCCAGGTTGGATCAAAGCAGCAACCTGGGCTAGTGGAAGGTGTCCCTGCCCATGGCAGGGAGTGGAATGAGATGAGCTTTGAGGCCCCTTCCAGCCCAAACCATTCCATGATTCCAGGCAATAGGTTGCCCTCAGGGCACGAAGCCCCCTGGAGCCTCCCTGCAGCCCTGGAGCTCCTCAGCACAGGCTGGTGTGTCCAGGCACAGGACCCAGGGCTGGATGGGGCCCCCCAGGCCCTGCTGCACATCAGCTGCTGAGCCACAGGAACCCGGGGAGGGATTTTGTGCAAGTCAGTTCCTGCAGGATTTTGTTGCCGCAGCGAGCGCGGTGCCGGGGAGCTGCTTCAGCCTGCGAGTTCCCAGCCTGGTCACTGCTCTGTTTAGCCTCAGTCTGCCCGAAGTCCCACCCCAGCTCCTGCGTTTGAGCAAGAAAAACAGGGAGGGGAAAACAACCCAACACCACAAAGCGCTGCGGATCCCAGCGCTGGGGCTTTTCAAGCGGCTCTCGCCGCGCTGGCAATTTTAACCGGAGGAAATGACCTCACCTGGAGGTCCCCGAGGCCGCCGGCTGAGGGCTGGGGCCACGGGCTGGGGAAGGGCTGGGGAGCGGGGACCTGGCCCTGATTTACTGTTTCCTGCAGCGCTCGGCCGCCGTGCCCGCACGGAGGGGCTCAGTGCTCCTCACTCGGCTGGGGCAGCGAGGGATGGAGTCGGCTTTTCACGGCCTCCCCTGTGCCCAGCGGCGAAACAAACAATTCGGAGTGGTCGGGGCCAGAACCGCGGTGAAATTTGGCTCCAACGGGAGATGATGGCGGCGGGGGGTGCCCAGGATGGGGGAGCAACAAGGCGAACTCCCCCTCTGCTTTGCCCGTGCCCCGCTCTGCCTCCCCCCTGCTTTGCACCCCTTGCCCCTCCATCCCCGCGGTTTTGCTCTCCCTGTTTCCAGCGGGGCTGTAGGAAATGGCTGTCGGGGCCCCCCCGCGCCGCTGCGGCGCAGCTGCCTCTGGCGCTGGCCGGGCGCCAGCCCCTGGCAGATGGCGCGGGGCTCTTTAGGCTGCTTCCCTCGGCTCCCCGGCCCAGCTCCCGCCATTTAATCAAATTATAGGAAAAGGCAATTTGCTGGGTTCTCGTTCCCCCCCTCACACACACACCCCCCCCCCGCTCTGTTCCCCCACGGCCCGCGCGTGGCTCCCCGTGCCCGCGGCGCTGCCCCGCCGCCCCTCCCAGGCCGAGGGGCCTGGAATTCTCTTTTTCGAGCAGGGGATGAAGGGCAGCTGCCAGTGTCTGTCAGGATTTTCCCTCCCCCCCTCTTTATTTCTTTTTTTTTTTTGCCTTTGGTTCACGAGTTCCCCACAGAACCACGGAATCGGGAGCGTTGGAGGAGCTCTCTGAGGTCATCGAGCCCAACCATCACCCCACCACTAACCCCTGTCCCCACGTGCCACATCTGTATGTTTTTGAACACTTCTGTGGTGATGGTGACTCCACCACTGCCCTGGGCAGCCTGTGCTAGTGCCTGACCACTCTTTCAGTGAAGAAATTTCCCCTGATATCCCACCTGAGCCTTCCCTGGCACAACTTGAGGCTGTTTCCTCTTGTCCTTGTCTCTGTCTGGAAGCAGAGCCCGACCCCCCCCTGGCTCCCCCCTCCTGTCAGGGAGCTGCAGAGAGAGAGAAGGTCCCCCCTGAGCCTCCTTTTCTCCAGGCTGAGCCCCCCCAGCTCCAGACCCTGGTGCTCCAGACCCTTCCCCAGCTCTGTTATCCCTTCACCTGCTCTCCATCCACAGCACCAACACCCACAAGGTGATTTCAGCTCCCTGTGGCCCTTCAGGGTCCAGCCACCCATGAGCCAACACGTGGGGAAAGACCAGGGCTGCCCCTGGGGTTCTGAACACCCCAGTTTTGGGTGAAGCTGCTCCAAGAAATGGGAACCTCAGCCACCAGGGGAAAAGGAAGCCATGGATATATTGAAGTGCAGCCACTGGAGCTTTTCAGAGGGGTTTGGTGGGATTCGGGGGATTTTTTTTTGTATTTTTTTTTAAACAAAAAGAAGCCTGGAATGGGCTGCCCAGGACAGTGGTGGAGTCATTATCCCTGGAAGTGTTCAAAAAATGTGTGGATGTGACATTTGGAGACATGGCTTAGTGGTGAACATGGAGGTGCTGGACTTGATGATCTTGAGGGTCTTTTCCGGCCTAAACGATTCTGTGATTCTGATTTTTATTCCCCACCACCAATTCTGCCCCTTCTTGCTGGTGAGGGCCAGGGCTGGAAGGGAGCAGCTGGCTGTGGGGAAAGAGAAACTCAGGGTAGGTTTCCTTCCCAAAGAGAGCCGTGTGTGCCAGGCAGAGCCCAGCCAGCCCCTGTCCCCGCCCCTGCTTTCGGCTGGATTTAAAAAAGAAAAGATTGTCGGTTTCAGAATGAATCAAAGGGGATGAAAATAAGCTGTGACAAAAGTTCTCACATCATTTTGAGTGGCATTTCAGTTTCTTTGAGTGCTATTTCGGTTTCTTTGCGTATTGAATTTCTGGGTTTCTTTTTAAAAAAAAAAATAAAGGTGTGTTTTTGCCCTGGCACAAGGTGGTTTTCAGTCAGGGCTTTCTAGGATGGGTTTGGTTAGTTTAGAAAGGAAGGGAAAGCCTTTTCTGTTGCTTAATGTGCTGTTAAATCACGTAGCTGAGCAGTGCTGCAGAGGTCTGTCCCAGAGCTGTCCCCTCCCCTTGACAACCCTTCCGAGGGGCTGCTCAGCCCTCGGTGTCCCCTGTGCCACAGTTTCCCCTCGAGCTGGTTGGTGTGGCAGGTTTGGGCAGGGGCTGTGCTGGGGAGCCTGGCACACACCAGGGTTGGCACAGGGGGTCCCAAGGCCACAGCAGCCCCCGGTGGCAGCCCCCAGCCCGTCCCCTGGCGCGGGGTCACCGCACAGCAGTGGTGGCTTTTGTGGTTACCCAGAAAAACTTATAACCACGGAAAACGGAACTGGAGCAGAGTCGAAACTTCTGCTGGTGCCGGCAGGCTCTGCAGGAGGGGGCTGGGGGACCCACGGGGTTACGGGAAGGCAGAGGGGCTGTGGGTGTCCCCTGTGCCCTCTGTGCCCTGCACCCTGTGCCCTGTCCCCTGCCCCACTGCCCACAGGGCTGTGCCCTTCAAGGACTTCAGCTGAACCTCTCCAGTGCTGCCCAGATCTGCTGTGGGATGAATAAAAGTGAAGCTCCTGGACTCGTGGAATGGTTTGAGATGGACAGGACCTTAGAGCCCATCCAGTCCCACCCCCTGCCATGGGCAGGGACACCTTCCACTAGCCCAGGTTGTTCCAAGCCCCGTCCAGCCTGGCCTTGGACACTTCCAGGGATGGGGCAGCCACAGCTGCTCTGGGAAACCTGTGCCAGGGCCTCCCCACCCTCACAGGGAACAATTTCTCCCAATATCCCATCTAACCCTGCCCTCTGGCAGTGGGAAGCCATTCCCTGTGCCCTGTCTCTCCAGGCCCTTGAAAGGCCAGTTGAGTGAAACACTGCTCTGTTGCCGTGAGAGGCCACTCAGACACTGCTGAAGTTTAAGTTTGAAGTTTAAATTTGAAGTTTAGGTTGTGCAGGGTTAGGGAGAGGCACGGTGAGGATGTGGGGCCTTGGAGTGGCCAAGCAGTTCTCTTCAACCCCTTTCCTGCCCCACAGGTGTATCCATCCAACTCAGGTGATGACTACAGCAGGGATCCAGCTGGATATACTCCCTCAAAACCTCCCAGCACTGTGTATCCTGGAGCCTTTTATATGGCAGGTGAGTTATTCACACCCTGGGGCAGAGCAGGGGCTGCCTGGATTTTCACAGACCACAGGAGGGATTAGATGGAGGAGACTCAGGACAGGAGTGCGTGAGACAAAAAGCAGCCCTGAAATCATAGAATTATGGAATATCCTGAACTGGAAGGGACCCACAGGGATCATCCAGTCCCAACTCCTGGCCCTGCACAGACACCCCAACAACCCCACCCTGTCCCTCAGAGCGTTGTCCAAACGCTCCTGGAGCTCTGGCAGCCTTGGGGCCGTGCCCACTGCCCTGGGGAGCCTGGGCAGTGCCCCAGCACCCTGTGGGGGAAGAACCTTTCCCTGAGATCCATCCCAACCCCCCTGGCACAGCTCCAGCCCTTCCCTGGGTCCTGTCCCTGGTCCCAGAGAGATGGTCCCGATTTGCTCAGCGGGGGATGCTCAGTGTAGACAGGACACAATGGGGACAGTCACAGCCCCTCAGCCTGGGCTGACCTCCCCCTGGGGGGCTGGGGGCTGCCTGTGGTGTCTGTGCCCCACCCAGCTGCACTTTTCCTTGCAGATGGACTCCATAACTCGCCAGACCTGTGGAGTTCCCCGGGTGCCATGAGCCAGTCGAGTTACGGTGCCATGCTGGGCAGCTCCTCCTCCCCACTCCCACAGTCCAGTGGCTTCAACAGTTTACACCAGCACGAACGCATGGTAACGTGTCCCCCGGGGCTGGGGGGCCCTGTCACCTCCATGGCACCTCCTTCCATGGCTTTGGGCTCGGGGGGAGCTGGGTCCTGGCTCGATGCCAAAGCCCAGCAGCTTTCCCAGGGCTCCTCTCACCCCTCTCCTCCTCCCTGCCAGAACTACCAGCTGCATTCCGGAGAGGTGAACGGGGGACTCCCCTCCGTGTCCGGCTTTTCCTCGGCCTCCACGCCCTACGGAGTGTCCAGTCACACGCCCCCGATCAGCGGCACAGACAATATGATGGGTATGTCCAGCCCCCAGGGGGACCCCCTTGCCCTGCACAAGCTCGCCTGGAAAACCAGAGTCTTGGGCAAACCCGATGCCTGAGGCATCCAAAACCCCTCGTGTGTCACCTGTGCCTGGAGTCGCTGTGTGAGGCACAGTGAGGTTCCTGCTGCTGGATACCTGGAGCAGGGAGACACCTGTGGGGTTTACACCTCCTGTGGTGGATCTGGGAGGAGCCCAGGAGCTCTGACATTATCCCTTGGAGGTGCTGTGGCTTACATGAGTTGCGGGAAGGATTTGCACCTGTGTGAAGCTGTTCACTTAAATCCGGAATGGGAATGTTCGTGCTGCATTTAGATACCATGTTAACCCCTGAGTGCTTTAATCTCTGACCCTGCTGAACCTGTTACCAAACCTGTTACTGAAATGAACTTATGCTCCCCAGGAAATGAGGATCCTGACCTGGATTTGTAGAAAACCTTTTATTTTTCTACAGGGAATCAAGTTTGGGATTCATAGAATGATCAAATCATTAAGGTTGGAAAAGACATCCAAGAACATCCAGTCCATTGGTTATTGTAGGGGCTTAAAATGCCCCATGGCAATGGGCCGTGCTGCAGCAGAGACATCTGATTGCTGTTGGTGGCACCTCCAAGCCAGAGCTTAGAGAGACCTTCATGCAGCCCCCTGAAGGCTGTCAGGGGGATTGTGCCCCTGTCCGGGCTGCCCTGAGCCACACAAACATTTCATTGTCAAGCAAAGCACTAAAAGCAAAAAGTTTCCACCTCAGAGCAGGTGACCCCAGGGAAGGTCTCGTAGGGTGCCACGTCCTGCTGGGCTCTGGTGCCCTGGCAGTGACATCTGTGTCCCCTCCTGGCAGGTAACAGAGGAACCACAGCCGGGAGCTCCGGAGACGCGCTCGGGAAGGCACTGGCCTCGGTAAGGGTTGGGATCATCCCTGACCTGCTCCTCGTGCTCTTGCTGCACTGGACCCCCTCTCCATACAAAACAGGGGATATGGACACAGTGAGAAGTTTGGGTGAATGCAGCCTAAATCCACGGCAGACTCTGAGGGAGGGTTTTCCCCACTCCATGTGCTGCCATCTCGGTCCTGGTGCCTCTTGGCAGATGAGGAAACTGAGGCACTGCTTCTTGCAGCCCCATGACCAGCCCAGGACCCCCCAGCCTCATGCTCTCTGCCAAGACCACCCTGCACAGCCCCTGTGGCAGGACTGTAGGTCCCAGCAGTCCTGGCCCTGCATGTGCTGGTTCAGACTGGAGGGCACTGGTCTCACTGGGTTATCAGAGTCGCCTTTGTCCCCTTCAGTGACCTTTGCACGGTGGCAGAGGGGGGCTGGCAGTGCACCCTGTGACACTTCCATGGGGCTCTCACTTCCTTCCAAGGTGGGACCCGAAGATTGGAGGCTGCACTCAGGGGTGGGGACAGAGAGAGACCCTGGGGTTGATGGTGGGGCTGGGGGGGGCTGGGCTGGGCCTTCACGTTGGGTGTGGGTTTGGGACAGGGGGTCCCCTCAGGGGTCCCAGCGGGTGGTGGGTGCTGCTGGGAGGGGGCAGTGGCTCAGGGTGGGCGCTGCTCACTGCCCACCCTCTCTCTCCCCAGATTTACTCCCCTGATCACTCTAGCAATAACTTCTCCTCAAACCCCTCCACACCGGTCGGCTCCCCGCAGGGGCTTGCAGGTGAGTGACAGATGTTGTTCTCTGGGTCAGGTTTGCTTTTGGGAGCTTCCCAGGTCAGCCCCAAACCCTCACTACAGAGCCCAGGGGTGGCAGTGACCCTGGGACCTGCTCCTGCCATTCCTGATCCTGTCCCTGAGCATCCCACCTCACAGTGTGAGAAGCACACTGGGAACTGGGAAGTGGCCAACCAGTTAAAACCCATTTCCAGCACCTGGTGAAAGCCTGTCCCTGCTGCCCTCGGGCAGGACAAGGTCCCGTTGTGCCCAGCAGAGCTGGTGCCCGGGTTCCCCATGCCTGGGGCTCAGCCCCAAGGTCACAGAGTGTCACTGAGACCAGGGACAATTGGAAACCTCTTGAGTCTGAAGGCCTGAGCTCAGCTCCCTGCTGAGCCAGCGCAGAGGCTGAGCCCACAGTGCCACGAGGTGCCACAAGGTGCCATGAGGTGCCATGAGGTGGCCCATGCAGTGCCATGGTGCCACAGTGGCCTGTGCAGTGCCACGTGGTGCTGTGATGGCCTGTGTGATGCCATGGTGGCCCACATGGTGCCATGCAGTGCCACGGGGGCCTGTGTGATGCCGTGGTGGCCCACATGGTGCCATGCAGTGCCATGGGTGCCTGTGTGATGCCATGGTGGCCCACATGGTGCCGTGCAGCACCACGGGGGCCTGTGTGGTGCTGTGTTGGCCCACGTTGGTGCCGTGCAGTGCCACGGTGATCCCCGCGGTGCCGTGGGGTGCTGAGCGTGGCACGGTGGCCTGTGCACGGCGTGGTGGCCCCTGCAGTGCCGTGGCCCAGCTTCCAGCCCCATCTAGTGGCAGCCGGTGCCGGTGCCCAGCTCTCCGTTTGTCCCCAGGCACGTCGCAGTGGCCGCGGGCGAGCGGAGCGGGTGCCTTATCTCCCAGCTACGAAGGGAGCCTCCACACTTTGGTGAGTGGCTGCTCCTTTGCTCTCCCGTCCCCTGGGGCCTGGTGGGGAGGGATTTTTGGGGGAAGTCCTCTCCCCCGAACAGCCGGGGCCTGGAATCAGGTGGTTGGTCGAGATGGATGGATGTGTCCCTGAGCCTGGAGCCTCGCTGGCACCTGGACAGCCTGGCACCCTCCCACCATCCATGGCCCTGGCCCATCCTGGGGTCTGGCCCAGTGGGATGGATTCCTGGCAGGTTTCTGCCTCCCTTCCCTGAGCAGCTCTGCTGGTGTGAGTGGTGTGACCTCTCATGCCTTTAGGGGATGGCACTGACTGGGGGGTTATTTCTCCCCATCCCTGCCCTGTGGTACTTCAGTGCTGAATTGCCACGAGCCGTCCTGCAGTGCAGAACTGCAGCAGGCTGCTGGCTTAGTGGGATTACAATCATGGAATCATGGAATGGTTTGGGTTGGGAGGGACCTTAAAGCCCATACCATTCCCATGGGCAGGGACACCTTCCACCAGACCAGGTTGCTCCAACCTGGCCTGGGACACTTCCAGGGACGGGCAGTTAACACAGGCCTCTCTCTGTCCTGTCCTTCCAGCAAAACAAAATGGAAGACAGGTTGGACGAAGCCATCCACGTGCTGAGGAACCACGCCGTGGGCCAGACCGCTGCCATGCCCAGCAACCACGGGGACATGCACGGGCTCCTGGGCTCAGCACCACCCCACAGTGCCGCCGTGGGCAGCCTGGGCCAGGCCTTCCCTGCCTCGGTCATGGCCCTGGGCAACAGGCACCCGAGCCTGGTACGTGTGGGGGCATCGTGGCAGCTGGTGGGGACACGCTGGGGACACGTGCTGCGTGTGGGGTGCCCTGGCATCCAGAGGGATGAGAACAGCTCAGCCTGGCCCAGCGTGGGTCAGGTGTTGGCAGTGCTGGGTGGGTGACGTGCATGGAAGTCACCTGCTGTGTTCCCGCAGGGAGGGTTGAATCCCATCTCCTTCCACCCCCTGCCATGGTCAGGGACACCTTCCATTATCCCAGGTTGCTCCAAGCCTTGTCCAACCTGGCTTTGAACAGTTCCAGGGATGGGGCAGCCACAGCTTCTCCGGGCACACCGAGTCCACCCTCAGCACAGACATGGCTCTTGGCACAAGCTCTGTGTGCACTTTGTTCGTGCCCCTTCTCAGGGCAGGCAGAGGTGGTGAAAGCTCTTCTTTACCTGCAACATGGATGGAAATCCCTCAAAACAGCTTCAAGCCATCCCTGGAGTATGCAGGGAGAAGGAGAGGAGGGATCCAGTGGGTTTAAGAGAGCCAGGTATCACCAGGAATTCCCTGCTCTGAATGGTTTGGGCAGGCACAGTGTCCTACCCTGCATGTGGGGAGTGCTGGTGTGTGAGGGCTCATTCTGGCTCCAGGGAGTGGGACAGATTCCAGGCTCCCTGAGCATGTGGATGCTGAGGTTCCATGCTGGGTCACCAGGATCCCCCTTGTCCAGAGGCTGGTGACCCCAGCAGCACATTTTTGGCAGAACTGGTTGTCTGCTGCAGCAGCACGTCTCCAGACTCTGGAACCAGTTGTGAGCCCTTTCCAGGCTTCCCAGACTCTGCTCCTGAGGGAGGAATCAGATGTGGTCACACATGTGTCCTGCCAGCTGCAAACCCAGCGTGTGGGCAGCAGGGCTGGCTCTGTCCTGCCAGTCCCTGGCCTGTGTGGCACAGCCTGGGGGCCGTGGGCTCGGAAGGGCTGCCTGGCCCTCATCCTTTCTGGAGCCAAGTTCACATTGCTGGGATGTCCCTTGTTCTTATGGCACTGGGTGGTGGCAGAAACAGTGGTGCTTGATGGAGACAGGACATGTGTCCTTCCCAGCATGCCAGCCTTGCACCCAGGCAGGGAGGGGCTTTTCCATGGTGGGGGCACAGCTCTGACAGGGGCTTTGGGCTGGACCCAGCTCATGTGCAGAGCTGCAGTGTCACTGCCACAGTCCTCAGAGAGCCGGTGCTGGAGCAGGCTGGCTCTTCCCTCCCTCGTGCCTGTGCTCTGGGTGATGGGGCTGTGCAAGGGGAGCACACAGCTGGGCCTTAGCCCAGTCCATGGAGCCCTGGGGGTGTCCTCAGGTGACTGTCCCCCTGCCTGCTGGCTGTGACACGTCCCCCTTGCTCTGCCTGTTGTGCTGTAGGTGGGAGGAGGTCACCCCGAAGACGGCTTGTCCAGCAACCCCAGCTTGCTCCACAACCACGTCACACTTCCATCCCAGCCCAGCTCACTCCCCGACCTCAGCAGGCAGCAGGACACGTACAGCGGTAAGGCAGCTCTGCACGTCGGGGCCCACCTGTGCCAGGGCTCACCTGTGCCAGGGCTCACCTGTGCCAGGGACTCACCTGTGCCAGGGCTCACCTGTGCCAGGGCTCACCTGTGCCAGGGACTCACCTGTGCCAGGGCTCACCTGCCAGGGAGAGGGAGTTTGGGTCACCTGTCAGGTCTAGCCCTGTGCAGCAGCAGCCCAGGGGGACATGGATGCTCCTGCAAGGCTGGTGCTTCCTTGCATGATCCACAGGGCAGTTTTGACCTTGAGCCTTTTCCAGAGATTTTATAGAATCCCAGACTGGTTTGGGTTGGAAGGGACCTTAAAGCTCATCCAGTTTCACCCCCTGCCATGGGCAGGGACACCTTCTACCATCCCAGGTTGCTTCAAACCCCATCCAACCTGGCCCTGGACACTTCCAGGGATGGGGCAGCCACAGCTGCTCTGGGCAACCTGTGCCAGGGCCCCACCACCCTCACAGCCAAGAATTTCTTCCCAATATCCCATCTAATCCTACTAGGTTTGACCTACATGTCCCTGTCCCTCCTGCCAGCTGTGGGTGCACAGCCTGTGCTGGAGAGGTTGAGCTCTCATTTTGGAGGGCTTGGGAGGTGGAGGGAGAACAGGGAGCAGCAGCAGGGCAGAGCCAGCACACCTCCATCTTCCCTGCCTGCGGAGCAGCAGTGCAGGATGAGTTTGGGATGCCACAGCAGGAGCAGGGCCTGGGGACCCCCCAGCCTCCTGTGTGGGTCAGGCCCCTCAAGCCCTGCACGTGGCTCTGCTCTCTCAGCAGGTTTGTCCGGGGGGCTGGGCCGGAGCAGCGTCTCCTCGGGAACGAGCGAAATAAAGAGGGAAGAGAAGGAGGACGAAGAGAACACATCAGTGGCAGATAACTCAGAGGAGGAGAAGAAGGAGCTGAAACCCTCTCGGAACAGAACAAGGTGCTCTTTGAACAGGTCTCTCCCTTCACTTACTCTGTTCCCAGGCTGGGGGTGTTTGGGCCAGGGTGTGGCCGCCGGGACCTGCCGGGTGCTGGGCTTGACCCGGTGAGGCTGAGGGTCACCCTGTGGCACAGACCCCCAGCCCCTGCCCACCCCGGGAGCCTGGTGTGGCCTCACACAGCCTGGGCTCCTGCTGCTGCCCCAGGGGAAGGGTCCCTGCCACCCTCCTGCTGGCTCCTGTCCCTGTGGGCTCAGGGCTTCCTCGTGCTCCTAAAGCAGAGGGAGGCACCTCATCCACAGCAGCTGCACCCGCCTGCGTGGGCCCTCGGGGCTGTGCACAGGAAGGAGCGAGTGCTCAGCCCCAGACAGGGAAGGTTTGACCTCTTCCCTGCCTTGGGGCATCTCTGCTGTCTGCTTTGGGCTCCTGTGTCCTCTGTCACATCCAGCTGAGAAGTGGCAGCGGGTCAGGTTCCAGCTCACTGGCTGTTCTACAGCCCCACCACCAGCTCGGAGACCTCACCAGGGTGATGGTGCCCAGCAGGGCAGTGCCAGCCCCGCTCCTGCCCTGGAGGCAGAGGGCTGTGTCTTCCCAAATTCCAGCTGGGGATTCCGGGTCGGCCCTCACCTTCTCGGGGCCACCCTGTGCCCTCCCAGCAACAACAAGCTTTAGTTGCATCGTGGTTTCTTTCTCTGTTGTTTAAAACCAAACCAAAACAAAACAAAAAGAGGCAGAAGAAGAGCCTTAATCGCTTCTCTCCAAAGTCCCTGCGTGCCCCTGTGCCCGAGCGTGTGGCTCAGGCCAGCACGTCCATCGGGGCACCGGGGGCCACGCGGGGCTCGGCATCTCGGTGCCTCGCCGTGTGTTTCTTGTCTGTGAGTTGACCAGTGCTGAGAGTGCACGCGAGGAATGTCCCTGTCTCGTTCTTATTTTAAACCATTAGTCAAGATGAGGATGAGGAGGACGATCTTCTTCCCCCAGAGCAAAAAGCCGAGAGAGAGAGAGAAAGGAGGGTCGCCAATAATGCCCGTGAGCGCCTGCGGGTCCGGGACATCAACGAGGCCTTTAAAGAGCTCGGACGCATGTGCCAACTGCACCTAAACAGCGAAAAACCGCAGACCAAACTGCTAATCCTACACCAGGCCGTATCAGTCATACTGAACCTGGAGCAACAAGTTAGAGGTCAGTGAGGGTCCCGGAGTGGTGATATTTTACGTATCTGATCGGCACGGGGCTGTCTGTCTGTCTGTCTCCTGTGACGTGCTGTGGTGCCTCGCACTGTCTCTCTCCCCTGTGGCCTTGGGGACCAACCCAAGGCTGTTGATGTCCTTTTTGTTTTTATTTTTTTTTGCCTTTTTTTGCATCCCTCCCTGCTGTTCTCTCCTCCGTTCCCCACTGCCACTGCGTGTGCTGCATGCCCTGCGCCGTCACTCCCCCGCAGCCAGGGCTGCTCCGTGCTTGGCCAGCTTGGAAAAACCCCAGCCAGCAAATCTCCCAGAGGGACCCAAATCTGCCATCGCCAAGGGCTGCTCCGAGCACAGAGCACATCCCTGTCCCGCCTCATGCCCAGCGGGGCTCTGCGCTCCTGGCCCACCTGTGTGGCACCTGGCAAACCCCTGGGATCACCGGAGCTGTGCCAGGGGCAGCGGGATGCCCTGGGCTGAGCAGCCCTCACCGCCTGCACGGGCTGGTCCCAGACAAAAGCTGGGAGCTCTGCGCATTCCGAGCTGAGCCTGGAGCTGCCGGTGGGTGCGTGCAGAGTCTGCCCCTCAATGGGGCACCCTCACCTCCTTCCACACGTGTGTGCACCCATCTCCTGTGTGCACCCATCTCCTGTGTGCACCCATCTCCTGTGTGCACCATCTCCTGTGTGCACCCATCTCCTGTGTGCACCCATCTCCTGTGTGCACCATCTCCTGTGTGCACCATCTCCTGTGTGCACCCATCTCCTGTGTGCACCATCTCCTGTGTGCACCATCTCCTGAGTGCACCATCTCCTGTGTGCACCATCTCCTGTGTGCACCATCTCCTGAGTGCACCATCTCCTGTGTGCACCATCTCCTGTGTGCACCATCTCCTGTGTGCACCATCTCCTGAGTGCACCCCTCTGTGCACCCACCCCTGGGTGCTGCATCCCCGTGGGATGGGAAGCGGAGGGCTCGGTGTCCCGCTCCGGAGGACTTTGCTGCTTTGTTCCCGCATCCCGCAGTGCATGTTCCCGCTCCAGCCCGGGGTGCTGGGGCAGGATAACCCCCTTTCTCTCTGCAGAGCCTGTCGTAACACGCGTCGGGGGCTGTGCCTGGCTGTGCTCCTCTCTGCTGGCCTTGCTGTGCCTTGATGTTGGAGTCCTTTGTGCCTCTCTTCAGTTTGTAATTTTTTGCCTTTCATAACATGTATATTTTTTCCTGTCTCTTTTTTAATTTCCCCTTCCTTTTGATTTTTTTTTTTTCCATTTTATTTCGAGTTTTTATTTTTTGGTTCTGTTCTTTCCGATCTCCTACAGACAGTCCCCAGCCGTGACCTCTCGGTGGTCCCACTCTACCTTGTACTTGCTGCTCACGGATCCCAGGCAGGACCGAGGGGGGCAGGGCTTAGGCAGAGTTGGCACCGTGTTCACTTTGGTCTCCCACGCTTGTCCCTTTTTAAACCCTTCCTGGAGGCAGCCAGGGAAGTGGCTGAGCCCTCAGCACTGTTAGTGCAGGCAGCCTGTGTCCCCTCTCTGTGGGTTTCCAGGAGAGAATCCCACTCTCACACCCCATGGAAATGGGGCTGCCAGGACCCTCCTGCTGCCACAGTAGCTATGGGGCAGGAAGGGAAAGGAGGAGATTGAGGGGTTTTAGGGAGGTCGGTGACCCCTTGGATCGGGGCACAAGGCAGCCAGAGCTGCCTTATAACTCCCTGTGCTGGGGGCAGGGAGATGGCTCCGTCCTGCCCAGGAGTGACATCCAAGCTGTGACATCCCAGGAGAGCCACCAGCCAGGACCCATGGCCACCAGCCTGAGCTGGGAGGAGCGAGCTGGGGTCCTGCTGTGGGGTGGCTCGGAGGCCCCATCCCCCTGCCCATCCTGGGTGTGTGGAGAGACGGTGGCAGTGCCAGCTGGGGCAGCGAGGAGGGGACAAGGACAGGAAGGAGGCAGCAAGGAGAGGCTGCAGGCAGGGACAGTGGGCAGCCCTCTGTCCCACACAAACCATTGCCTGGGGAGCACTTGCTCCCCCTTCCTGTGTCCATACACGGCTCAGAGGCCCTCCAGGAAGGCTCTGCTTCTGCGGCCCCTCTTCACTGAAGGCTTATCCCCACATGGCTCCCCTGGAAGGCCACAGTCTGTCCCAGTGCCAGGGCTCACCCAAGGACCCTCCTCAGATAGGTGTCTTCCTGCAGGAAATTTTGCTCTGGGGGAGAAGGTCGTCTGTGAATAAATTGGGGTTTTGGAGGGGTCGGGCTGCGGGCAAGGCCGTGGTTCAAGGTGCTGCCAGGATGACTCTGCCTGCCCCCTGTCCTGGCCTGTTTCGGGCGTCCATGGGGTGCTGTCGGCAGCAGAGGCTCTCCCAGAGCTTCTGAGTGTGCTTGGAAAAGAAAATCACCCCCTTCTGGTGGGATCCAGTGTCTGCATCTGATCTGATCCTCAGCAGCAGCCCAGGCACTTGGCTCCTGCCCCTGGTGCTGCCCCCAGCCCCTAAGAGGATGCCAGGCCAGGCTGCTCCTGCTGCTGTGGCACCACTGCCACAAACGCCTTCACTGGGAGGTGCAGGTGGAGTTTTGGAAGGAAATCTTACAAAGAGGGATTTGCTTTCAGCCAAAAAGTCTTTTTTTGGGGTTCAGACCTGATGTTTTTGGCTGAGACCTGTCCCCCAGACTTGGAGTTTTCAGCCGAAAACAAAAACAGGGAGGCAAAATTTTGCAGAGGAGAGAAGGTGTCGCTGTCGATGCCGCGTCACTGCCCCTGCAGCAGCACCCTCCAGCCCTGTGGGCATCCTCCAGCCCTGTGGGCATCCTCCAGCCCCAAAGGTATCCTCCAGCCCCGTGGGCACCCTCCAGCCCCATGGGCACCCTCCAGCCCTGTGGGCACCCTCCAGCCCCGTGGGCATCCTCCAGCCCCATGGGCACCCTCCAGCCCTGTGGGCATCCTCCAGCCCTGTGGGCATCCTCCAGCCCCATGGGCACCCTCCAGCCCTGTGGGCATCCTCCAGCCCCAAAGGTATCCTCCAGCCCTGTGGGCACCCTCCAGCCCCGTGGGCACCCTCCAGCCCCATGGGCACCCTCCAGCCCCAAGGACACCCTCCAGCCCTGTGGGCACCCAGCCTCATGCTGGCAGCACCTTCACCTGGCTCGCAGAGGTGACACAGCCCAGGCCACTCCTGGAAGGACCCAGAGGAATTGGCTTTTGCAAAGTGAGGCTGTTTGGGCCGTTTCCAGTGGACACCAGGAGCACTCCCAGCACGGCAACATATAACTCACCCCCTTGGTACCACCCCCTGACTAACCCCTGTGGTGCTGTGAACCCAGCAGTACAGACGAGGCCTTGTCACTGGAGGACAAAGATCTGAGGGACCGGGAGAGGAGAATGGCCAATAACGCCAGGGAGAGGGTGCGTGTGCGGGACATTAACGAGGCCTTTAAGGAACTGGGACGAATGTGTCAGATGCACTTAAAAACGGACAAAGCACAGACCAAACTGATCATCCTACAGCAAGCGGTGCAGGTCATTCTGGGCCTGGAGCAGCAAGTACGAGGTATGGTACCAGCTGGCAGGGGCACTCCGGGGCCTGTCTCTCCCCCCTGTCTCTGCATGTTCGTGCATCTCTGTCCTGACTCCTGCTTTCGGTGCGAGGTGTGTGTTTGCAGTGCCAGCAGCACCCCTGGGGGCTGGCCGAGCTCTCCCTGGCCCCAGCCCAGGATGGATTTGAGGCTGCTCTCTCCCTCTCCCCTCCTGCCTAATGGGAATTTGGCACCTGGATCCCATTAAGCAGCTTTGGAAAACAGTCCTCAACTCCAAGAGCTGGTTGAGGCACGTGGGGGTTCCTGAAACAGGCACATGGGGAGGCCCTGGCACAGGTTGCCCAGAGCAGCTGTGGCTGCCCCATCCCTGGAAGTGTCCAAGGCCAGGTTGCACAGGGCTTGGAGCAACCTGGGCTAGTGGAAGGTGTCCCTGCCCATGGAACTGGATGATCTTTAAGGTCCCTTCCAACCTAAACCATTCCGGGATTCTATGTTTAAATTGGTGTGGGAGTCCAGCCAGACCTGGGGTTCTGCTCGAACAGGGGTCCAGCCAAATTCCTGCAGGCACAGCAGGGAGCAGCTGCACGGGGCTTGTCCCCCCACGTGGTGCCTTGGGGCTGCTCTGGGGGCTCTGTCCTCGCTCTCCCCCCTGGATGCTGCTGCTGCCCTGTGTGATGCTGTTGCCCACACTGAGGCTGCTCCCCCTCCCTGTTCCTGGCACAGAGCGCAACCTGAACCCTAAAGCAGCCTGCTTGAAGCGTCGGGAAGAGGAGAAAGTGTCCGGAGTGGTAGGAGACCCCCAGATGACACTTTCAGCTTCACATCCTGGTCTAGGAGACGGTCACAACCCTGTTGGACACATGTAAAGGTACCGTTTTTCCCCCGTGATGCCACACCCCGACCCCGTGCCGACACGCATTGCTCTGCTGTGGCTGCTCAGCCCCATTCCCTCAGCACCAGCCAAGGTCCTGCTTCATTTACCTGAAATCAGGGACTTGCACGTGTCCAAGGCACTGGCACAGGTTGCCCAGAGAGGCTGGGGACACTCCATCCCTGAAAGTGTTCAAGGCCAGGTTGGATGGGACGTGGAGCAACCTGGGCTAGTGGAAGGTGTCCCTGTCCATGGCAGGGGATTGGAAGGAGATGAGCTTTAAAGTCCCTTCCAACCCAAACCGTTCCATAATTCTTTGGGCATGTCATGTGCCCTGTGGACACCCAAAGCCTCTGGCCCACAGGAGTTGCAGCCCCATGGCTGGGATGGGGGGTTTCTGTGCTCTCCCCCCCCGAGTGAGCTCATCTCTGCTCTGCATCTCCCAGACCTGCTCCAGTTGGCCACTGGAAACCAGCAACTCCTTTTCCTTGCGGCTCTACGGGAGGGAACGGGCAGGTTCCAGAAATTCCAGGAGAGTCAGAGAAGGTGAAAAATCCTTCACTGGAACTGTAGCAGGCACAGGCTCTGAGGGTCCGTCCCCATTTTTAGGGGGACCCCGTGCTTGGCCAGGAGCAGCCGAGCCTGTTTATCCCAGTGGTGCAGAGATGGTGGGGGGGGTTGAGCAGATCCAGGAGGGGTGGGTCAGGAGCTGATCCCACCAGGGGTGCATGGAGGGGCCACAGTCCCTTGGTGTCCCCTGTCCCAGTGGGTGCCTGGGGGTGGCCTGAGCCAAACAAAGGCAAAGCTCATGTTCCAGCTCTGCTGCAGCCCCGTGGGCTGATTCCTGCAGGGACAGGCTGCAGCAGCAGCCTCGGGGCCCCCTGCAAGGAGCACAGGTTTATTCTCATTTGGATTTCCATCACTTCAGACTCTTTTTTTTTATTTTATTTTAGTTGTAGGTCTCCCTGTTCCTCTGGATACAGAGATCTGTAGGAAGAAAGCCCTCGGTGTGACCTGCAACCTTCTTGAACCATGGACTGTAGTACTGCTCATACTGACACACGCAGACGGATCCTGGTGTGACGTAAGGGGTGGAAAAAAACACTTTTTGTCAAAAACAGAACGAAAACAAAAAAATTGCCTTAAGTATAAAGTGCAGAACAGTCAATACATATCACTCAGTTAGGAGGGGGTGGCGTGTTCTCTTGGCTTGTTCACAAGCAGCCAGCAGCAAAATTGTGCCTAAGCTTGATATTTCTTTTTTAAAAAAAAAGAACATTAGTTATGAGATTTTTTATGTAGAACAAATAGCAATGCCTTTTGGTTTTTTTTAGCTTCTTTTGCATATGTTTTGTAAGCGACGAAAGAATTTTTTTTTGTATAAAAACATGTCTTGTACCCTCCGCTTTTCTGCTGCTGTTTCTATAGTTAACGTTGCATCTTTAGGATCAACCAGAATATTAAAATTGTATTAAGAGAGACTGGATATAAAGAGAGGAATTCTCAGATTCGGCTCGGAAAGCCACTAAAAGCGAATGTAGCCACAGCAAGGGGATGTTCTTCCTTGCCTGGCTTGTACCTTCCATGATAAAAAAACAAACAAACTCATGTGCTGAATTCACCATCTCTTTGCTTCGGCCACTTCTGATTTGGGAAAAGGAAGTTAAGCAGCAAAGCAAGTGGCAGGAGTGCCCCTGCTCCTCCCGGGAGGCGACCGAGGTGCTCTGCAAGGTTTGCTTTGTTCCCGGAGATCTGCTGTGGGAGAGGAGGTGCCCCACGGCTGTCCCGGAGCTGCTGGGAGGGAGCAGGGGTGGAAGAGATCCAGGGACTGGGGCACTTCCAGGCAAAGCGGAGCAGGAACACGGATGCATGAGGAAAGCCCGAGGTGGAGGGAAGCGCCCCTTCCCCACACGCCAGAGCTGTTGGAGGCACTTCCAGGAGCAGCGCTGAACAAAGACCAAGTGAACAAAGCTGGAGCACTGGGAAGAGGTGGAGGCAGCAGCGGGATGTGGGGCCAGGCAGCCCCGTATCTGGGGCAGGAAGGGAGCAGTGACCTGGCTCACTCCAGCCCTGGGCAAGCCACGACCAGCAGCAGGATCCCTTCTCCCTGCACTGGAGTCACCACCATTGGAAGTGGAAAACGCTGCAGGCTCGGGGAGAGGAGCTTCACACTCCACTGTCACCTCCTGTCACATCTCCAGGGCATCCTTGGAGGCAAACTGAGCTCGGCATGGGCTTCCCGTGGGGATGTGAGTGGTAACTTCACCTGCCTGTGGGCTCCTCTCTCCGTGCTGGGAAGGAGGGAAGCGGGAGCACCCGCCCTGCACGACGTGCTCCAGCAGCCAAGCTGGGCCAGCCATCCCTCACTCCCAAGGATTCCCAGTGTTGCTCCAGCCGCTCCAGAGTGCTCAGCAGGAGGAAGATCCCTGGCAGCCCCACTGGGTGCCCCGGAGGTGTGGAGCAAACGAAGAGGTGCTGGGCAGTGCTGAGCTGCAGCAGCCGTTCTGGAGATGGCCACGGAAAAACATCCACCGGGAATTTACTCGTTTCTTCCCTCTCCTTCCCCTTCTGAAACATTTTGTGCCTGGTTCTTCCCAGCTCTGCAGGCGGATGGGGCAGTTCCCCAGGGAGTGTGACATCTGGAATGCTCTTGGACTGGGGCCACAGCTGCCCAGATGTGCCTGGCAGAGCCCAGTCAGACAGGACAGTGCACGGGACACGGGTGCTGGCTGGGGGGGGACGTGGGGACAATGAGGATGGTTGGACCCCCCCTCTCCCCCACAGGGTCCATCTCTCCCCTCTGCTGCTCCAGCCTTTGCTCCTGGGGAAGCTGTGCTGCTTTGGGAAAGGGAAGGACTGGCAAACAGGATTGGGTCCCGGGCTTTGGCATAACCTCCTGGTGCTCCTCTGTGCTCGTGGCTGCACTTTGTGCTCTGGCAAACCCTGCTGGAAGTGCTTATCTCCCTCCTCACCTGGGCACTGTGGCCTCAGCTCCTGCAGCATCTCTGAGAGGAGCCAGTCCAAGTGCCAGGGCAGCATTGGGACTGTCCCTGCTGCCCCTGGCACTGCCTTGGGGCTCCACAGCATCCAACCTTAGCTCTGAAGCTTTTGGGTGCTCCTGGCTTTCCCCAGCTTGCTGCTCCCACCATTCCTTCTGTGTGGGGAGACCTGAGACCACAGCAGCCCCCAGCTGTGTCCCCAGGAAAGCCAGGAAAAGTCAGCAGTTCCAGCAGCCCAGGCTCTTCTTGCCTGTGTCAACAGACACATTTCAGCCTAATTAGCTTGCCAGGTTTATGACACTTCACTCCTTTGGGTTCTTCTGGCTGCTGAAGCACAGGGCAGTGAGATGGATGAGGTTTCCCTCCATGTGTGACACTCCTTGACTCCCGTTCATGCTCTGGGGTACAAATCTGGGGGCTCAGCACCTGCTTTTTGCAGCTGTGAGAGGTGGCTTCATCCCGTGGAGAATTCCTGCTCCATGGGTGGGACAGTGATGGGGCTGCAGGGCTTTCACTGCTCAGGGTTTTCAGCTGGCTCAGTGCCCCTGCCCCAGGAGTGGAAGGGATGGAGCAGTGTCCCAGGACTGGGAGGGATGGAACAGTGTCCCAGATCTGGCAAGCCTGAAACCCTACAAAAAAATTTAAAGTGCTTCCCAAACCCTTTGATTTTGCCACAAGAAATGAAGGTGGCAGTCACGGTCAACTGGATTAAAGAGACTAGTCAGGAAAAATCCAGGAACTCAACAAAATTGGAAATTTGAGAAGATTTATGAGTTATTCAAAATTTTGCTGAACTTCTTCATCCTCTCCAAGTCCTGCAGGCCAGGGGGGATTCCTGATGAGCCAGAGCCTTTCCCACCATCCCCAAACTCCCAGGCATTGCAACAGAGATGGGGCTTTTCAGCTGCATTTCAGTGGTTGAGATGCTGTTTTCTTGACAGCAAATCCAGGCAACTTCCTTCCTTGGCAAGGCCTGGATGAAGATCCTTGAGCATAAACCCTCGGAGCCAGGGTTTGGAGGAGATCTTGGTTCCTCCAGCTCAAAAGCACAATGTGGGGGTGGCACTGCTGTGCCATCTCAATGGCACAGCTTTGTGTGCCAGCCCAGTGTGGCCTCGGTGGCATCTCTGCTTTCCAGGTGCTCACGGAGCAGTTGGGAGGTGCAGCAAGGAAAAATTCCTTTGGCTTCCCAGTGTGTTTGGTTCGGTGTGAATGTGGTGCCTGTAACCTGCCAGGGAAAGTGGCTTTTCTGAAAACGAGCACTATCAGGTGCAGTCCCCAAAATACCACCCTGAACTGTCACCCTGTAGCAGTGAAACTCTTTTCTTTAGGTGTCATGGTCACTGAGGGACAGGTCAGGGCTGTGCTGGCATTCCACTTGGGATCTTACAGATCCCCAAACCTGCTTCTCTGCCTGCCTTCATGTCCCCCACACCCGTGGTGCTGCCAAGAGAGGTGTCCCAGGTGGGTGACAGACTGCAGGGTGCCATTTATTCAGTTTTCTGCTTCCTCTCCTTGCATGCACAAGTGCTGCTAGGCCATGTGCCCGTCCTTGTCGGGGGCCACAGAGCCCCCCCAAAGCTTCCATCGTCAGATAGGGAATCAAGGGGCTGCCTTCCCCTCTGTGCAGCTTCTAGTTTCTCTTTTCCCAGGCTGCATCCCAGTCAAGCAGCAGAACTGGGTTCCCATCTGCCTTGGGACACTCCTTGTGTGGCAGGGACAGTCCTGGAGTGCAGTCCCGGGGTCCCCAGCCCCGGGGGTCTGCTCTGTTCCCCCCCCCAGCCAGCCCCCTGCCTCCCTACATGAGCTGTTCATGCCACGGTGCTGAGGAGTGTCTGGAATCCAGTTTATTAACAGGAAGATTGCAGATTTTTGTTCTTTCTCCCTTTCACCTGCTTTTGCCCCAGAGCAAAGGAGCTGCAGCCTCCCCGAGCCTTCACCTCCCTGGGCTCATGCTGGGGCAGTGGTGTCAGCCTGCCTGCTCCTGCTGCTGCTGCTGCTGCTCACAGCCCAGGGAGCAGAATTCCAGCTGTTTGCAGCCACCTCCCTGCCACGACCCCCCAGTCAGACCAACTCATAGCAACTGCAGTTCCAGGGTCAGTGCAGAACCTGCTCTCGAAGGTCCTTTGTGTCCCCCCAGTGTCCCCACTGAAGCCAGCAGAACCTTTGGGCCCTAGGCCCTCACGGAGTGATTCCTCACATCCTCCCCTCAGCAGGTTGGGGGGCCTTGAGAAACAAGAGGCTTTGGAACCCCCAAGCCCTGCACCCCCTGAGCTTTGCTGCCCTTCCTGCAGCGCTGGCTAACCCAGAGCAAGCCATGGCCACTGGACTCCCCCGTTCCTGCCCAACACCAGCAATAGCAAGGCCTGTTTTCTGTCCCCCAAGCTTGCACAAGGTCTTTGCCCTGTTAAATCCTATGCAACCCCCTCTCCTCTCACCAGGACTCTCCAGATCCCAGCCCAGCCCATTCTCTCTGCTCTTCTCCCATGACTGCTGAATTCTCCCTCCCTGCTGCTCTCAGAGTCCAGCTTCATTTCTAGCAGCTCCAAGAGCATTCCAAGTCCTGTGCCCTGGAGCTGGGAGGGGGCAGATGAGGGCTGAGACAGCAGGAACACCTCTTCCAAGTCATTCTGTGGGAGCTGAGCACTGAATTGGAGGGGGCAAGGCCTGGTGCTGGGGCCCCTCCACACCTCCTTCACCCTCCCGTGCCTTCTGCTCACTCCATCCTTCATCCCCCGTGCCCTGAAGGGAGAAGTTGAGTCCCACCGTGTTGCTGCCCAGACTGTTCTCTTAGCACCTGAACCTCAGGCTTGGCTTGGCCGCTCTCCCTTCAGCCCCCCAAGCCTGAAGGAGTGTTTCCCTGTCTCCCCTGCTCCTCAGTCTCTCCAGCCAGCACCTCTGAGCTGTTTCCCTTAGCAGTGGGGCATCAGCTGGGGTGGAGGCAGGAGGATTCGGGAGGTCAGTCCCATGGCATGGCTGCCTCTCCCTGCCTTTGGGGCAGGTGGGGGGGATCTGGTGCTCTGTACTTGGATTTTCAGGGCAATTCAGCCCTTCCTGGGAGCCAGCACTGCCATGCCTTGGCCTGCAGGACTCCCACAGGAGGCTGGGCTCCGGTTAGGAGGGTGGTGCAGGCTCCAGGTGTTCTGCCAAACCTTTTGTGCCCATCCTGCAGCCTAGCCCAGGAGGCAGTCCTGCCATGGCTCTCCATGCTGGCATTACTGTTCCCCTGGTTTTGTCCATCTCCTGCTCCCTGGGGCTCTCAGTTCCCACCCTGGCCCAGCCAAGCACCTGCCATGATGGAGGGCAAACAGTTTGACGCTCACCCTGGTACATCTCGGCTCAGCTGTGGCACCAGCACAGGAGAGCAAAGGGGTTTTTTGCTTCCAAACGGGATGTTCTGGTACCAAGAGCATCCCCATGCCCTGCACCCCTGGGCTGTGCTTAGGGGAGCCGTGGTGCTCCTCGAGGCAGCAAGCTGGGACACCACAGGTGTGCCATCCATGTCTTCCCAAATCACTTGAACCCACCAGCTGTGGAGCAAACCTTGTAACGTGGGGCCTCTTGGGCAGGGAAGGAGCCAGGGGAAGCCTTGCACCAGCCGTGGTTACTGTGCCAGGAGAGGGGAGAGGGGAAAGAGGCACCTGGAGAGGCAGGACAGGGATGATCCCAACCCCCTGCTGGGGAATGACCCATCGGGTGTGGAGGGTTCCAGCTCTTGGGAATGACCTGTTGGGTGTGGAGGGCTCCAGCTGGGGAAACAAAGCATTCCTGGGATGCTCTTTCTCTATATTTTTGTAGGATGGGGGGTGGGAGAGCAGATGGGAGATGCCTGCGGAAGTTGTTTATTTTTAACCCTGGTTGGTTTTGGTTTTTGGCCTTTAAAAAAAAAAAAAAATGGTCCTTGCTTTTGATGTTTATGCTGCCTACCTGTAAATCCAGATGTACTTAAGTGGCTGAAATCCTTGTTCTTAAATCAGATACACATTATAGTTTTGAACTATATATATAGTAAATATATATATATATATGCCTAACCCAGCAAAAAAAAAAAAAATAAAGTATTTGGGGGTGGGAAATGCGTTGCTCTTTGAAATGAATCACAATTGGGGGATGAAATTGTGTTTCTGAGTGCCTCAAGATATGAATTGTTTTCATTTTTTTAAATAATTTTATACAAGTGTCAAAACAGCTGGCTGGATTATTTGGAATTTTTAAATAATCCTAACTTTTTTAAAGTAGATTTTGAGAACTGTCCTGTATATAACAGTAATGTAGCAATAAATGTGACATTTTATAACAATATTACTTTTTTTTTCCCCATGTCTGTCTTTCAGGTGTTGTATTCCTAGGAATGAAAAGTTGGAATAAAGGTTTTACCTTGTATTAAAAAAAAAAAAAAAATAGAAAGAAAACACCAGACAGGTTTTCAGACATTTGCTCTGGGCACAGGTCCTGCCCCCTGCATCAGCTCTGGCACAGCTGGAATGGTTTGGGTTAGAAGAGACCTTAAAGTCCATCTTGTTCCAACCCCCTGCCATGGGGGGGACACCTTCCATTAGACACATGCACTGGGAATGTGGCCCCTGGGAGGGTTTCCAGCACCTTCCATCCCTGTGGGATCTGAGCACCGTCCCCAGCACCATAGAAAGGCTTTGGAGGTGCTGGGCCCTCCCTGGTGCAGCACAGCCTGTCCCGTGGCTCTGCTGTGCTCAGTGGGCTCAGCCCTGTCCTGGAGAGAGAGAACCCCGTGAAAGTGGGTACACACAGGGTGCACTTTGGAAATGGGGTCAAATGCCCCCAGTCCGTCCCGGGAGTTTAGCACAGGCTGGTGGTGGTGATTCAGGGAATCACAGAATCATTCAGTCCTTTTAAATCATCAAGTCCATCCATGAACCCAGCACCATGTTCACCACTAACCCAGGCCCCCGAGTGCCACATCCACGCATTGTTTGGGCACTTCCAGGGATGGTGACTCCACCACCGCCCCGGGCTTGACAACCCTTTCCATGAAGAATTTTTTCCTAATATCCAGCCTAAACCTCTGTACAGCTGGAGGCTGTTCCCTCTTGTCCTGTCACTTGTTACCTGGGAGCAGAGCCCGACCCCCACCCAGCTCCACTCTCCTGTCAGGGAGCCGGAGAGAGCAACAGTAGTTGCAGAGAACGTGGCAGAAGGTTTAACAGGGCTCAAACCCTGCAAGATGGGATGCATCCAGTACTGGGAGACGGACCAGCCTCACAGGTTCTCACTCTCCCACCCCCATCCGAGGGGTGGGGTCTCTGTCCCTCTGTGCCAAGGGCCCAGCCCCGGCCCCTCACACCCTCACTGTGCTGCCCTGCCCAGCCGGGCTCCACCCGCCCTCAGCCTCCAGCTCCTCCGAGCAGCTCCCTGAGGTGTTGCCCCCCCACTCAGCAGGAATTTCCCCAGCCCCTCATGGCTCGCACCCTTGTGGGTTCAGTGGCTGAGGGAGCCCTCCACTGCCAGCTTGACTTTGGGAGAAACAGAGATGGGGCAGCTGCACCCAGGAGCACTGAGCCCTGCAGACCCTCTCCGAGACCCCCGGTTCCAATGGGGAGGTGCTGCCTGGAAGCAGGGTGGGAAGGAGGATGAGAGCTGCTGGAATTGCTGCTGGACACAGGACACCATTCCTGTGGGTTTGCACAGGGAAGCCCAGGAAGCATCTGCAGCCCTGAGGCTTTGGCAGTGCATCCACAGGCCTCAGGCAGACAAGCACTTCAAGCTCTAATATCCTTCAGGATTTTCATAGAATCCCAAAATGGTTTGAGTTGGAAGGAACCTTAAAATTGATCTCATTCCACCTCCTGCCATGGGCAGGAACACCTTCCACTAGACCAGGTTGCTCCAAGGCCTGTCCAACCTGGCCTTGGACACTTCCAGGGCTGGGGCAGCCTTTTCCAGGGTTCTTCCTGCAGGTTCACAAGAGGCCGAGCAGGCTCAGAGCAGAGCCCGGGGAACATTATGGAATTGCTGGTGAATTTAGGACCCTCTGCTGAAAAATCTGGCTGGTAAATCCCTCTCCTGTAGGGAGAGGCTGAGCAGCCGTGACAGGAGGGTTTGTGGAGGCACTGACAGGCACTGGGGAAACCTCTCTGGGAAGGGGACACTACCCTTCAGCACAGAGGGTGAGAAGCAGTCCCAGCTCACTGCGGGGACAGTGCCCCCGCTCAGGGTTTGTGTCCCCTCTCTGATGTGGGGACAGCCCGTCACCTCAGGGCTGGTGTCCCCCCTTCACCATGGGGACATCCTGTTGTTATGACCCACCCCAGAAGGTGAGGGTAACCCAGGTTCTTGCTGATAGATCCCTTGGTGTGGATTAGAGTGAAATGACACTGAATGATCAGTGTTTGTAAAGATATATATATGTGTGGTTTGTTTTAGAACAATTTCGTTTCAAAGAAAAACAGGTATGTAGCCGTTTTGGTTGTTATAATCTATGGTAATACAGCAATATTAAAGCATAAAAATAACACTTAAGAAAATGTATAAGGGAGAGAAAGAGAAAAAAAGAATGAGAAAGGGGTGGTCTTGATCTGTTGAGGGTGGGAGAAGTCCACAAAACTCAAAGATTTCATGAGTTATACGAGTTCCCACTCAGGCTCAGGTGGGAACACCTTGTCCCTCTCCTGGGGCGGGGACTTTTAAAATGGATGATGTAATACTGGATCATGGGACACTTCATGAGCCTTTGACACCTTCTAAGATATTACAGCTGCCTATTATGTCAGAACCAATCATGACCCTCTACGGTCCATCATCTGAGATGAATAGCTCAAGGTAGGTGTGAATGTCTTCGATGCTCCCTGGAGGGGTTTACACAGCAGAGTCATCAGGTAAGGGAGGACACTGGCAGATAAGAAGGACTACCCCACTTCCGCAGGATTTGCCTCTAATTAGCCTCTTCCCGTATCTGGAAATCCAGTTTGTAGCTTCAGGGATGGAGGCCCTTCTGCACCTGGGGTAGCTGGACAATAGCATACGTCAAGGTCCTTTTGCAGTTCAAATTAGGAGACATATTCAGGGAAGGGGGGGCTTTGCTGGGTAAGCAGCTGTTTCTTTGCAGTTTGCTACAGTGGACAAAAGTCTTTTGGTGATCTTAACAATGTTTAAGCCATTAACCATTTCAGTCTCTGTCACCTGTCCCCTCGGGGCTCGTGTGCCCTCTCCTACGTCAGGACAGCCTGTCCCCTCGGGCTGCTGTCCCCTCTCCAGCATGGGGGACAGCCCATCATCCCCTCAAGGCTCGTGTCAGGGCTTGTGTTCCTGCTCATGTCCCCTCTCCAGTGTGGGGAAAGCCCATCTCCTCAAGGGCTCATGTCCCTTAAGGGCTCATGTCCCCACTCCAGCGTGGGGAGAGCCCAACCCCTCAGGGCTCATGTGTCCTCAGGGTTCGTGTCCCCACTCCAGTGTTGGGACAACCCAACCCCTCAGGGCTCACGTCTCCTCAGGGTTTGTGTCCCCACTCCAGCATGGGCAGAGCCCATCATTTGCTCCAGGCTCATGTCCCCTCAGGGCTCTTGTCAGGGCTGCTGTCCCTTCTCTGGTGCAAGGACAGTCTGTCTCCTCAGGGTTTGTGTCCCCTCAGGACTTGTGTCGGGGCTCTCCAGCACGGGGACACCCATTACCCCTCAGGGCTCCTGTTAGGGCTGGTGTCCCCTCAGGGTTCGTGTCCCCTCAGTCCTCTCTGGTGTGGGAACAACCCACCCACTCTGGGCTTGTGTCCGCACTCCAGCGTGGGGACAGCCTGTCCCCTCAGGGTTCATGTCAGGGCTCATGTCCCCTCAGGGTTCATGTCCGGGCTCTTGTCCCCTCAGTCCTTGTGTCCCCTCAGGGCTCGTGTCCCTTCAGGGCTCGTGTCAGGGCTGGCGTCCCTTCTCCGCTGCGAGGACAGTCCGTCCCCTCACCCCTCACGCTTTGTGTCGCCTCAGGACTTGTGTCGGGGCTCTTGTCCCCACTAGCCCCTCAGGTTTGTGTTAGGGCTGGTGTCCGCTCAGCCCTCGTGTCCCCGCTGTCCCCGTGTCCCCTCGGCCCTCGTGTCCCCTCGGCGCCATGTCCCCTCCCCACAGGAGATGGGGTCGCAGCCCCACACACCCCCGACTGCCGCTGTCCGCAGCTGTTCCTTCGCCAGCCCCGCTCCGTGAGCTCCGGAGCCGCCTCCTCCCGCCGCGCGTGCTCGGAGCGGCACCGCCGCCATCGCCGCCATCGCCGGCCCGCGCAGGCGCCCCGGGGGTCACTTTGAGGCCGCGCCATGTTGAACCAGCTGCTGGGGCCGCGCTACGCCCAACTGCTGCAGAACTGGTGAGGGGGCAGCGGGGCTGCGAGCCCGGACCCGCGGCTGTCCGCCCGCTGGCCCCGGTCCGCCCGGTCCCGGGTCTGCCCGCTCCGACCTGGGGTCTGTCCGCCCACCCCGGCTCGGAGTTTGCGCGCTCGGGGCGGGTGTGAGGGGCTGAGGGGTGTGAGGGGCTGAGGGGTGTGAGGGGCTGAGGGGTGTGAGGGGCTGAGGGGGTGTGAGGGGCTGAGGGGTGTGAGGGGCTGAGGGGGTGTGAGGGGCTGAGGGGTGTGAGGGGCTGAGGGGTGTGAGGGGCTGAGGGGTGTGAGGGGCTGAGGGGGTGTGAGGGGCTGAGGGGTGTGAGGGGGGCAGGAGGCAGGCGAAGGGGCTTCCTTCCCGCCCGGCTGTGGCTGCATTTCATATATAGAGGGTTTTTTAAACACAGCCTTTGCAGAACGAAGTGGCGTGGGGGACAGAACAAGGGGATGTGGCTGTAGCAGCGTGTCTTCTCTTTGTTGAGTAATGGGCTTCCTGAGTTAAAGCGTATCGCTCTTTTCCCGTAAAATACCTTGGCCGCACTGAGGGCCAATGCTGTTCTGTGTATGCGAGGTTGTTTCAGTATTTCACGGTATGGTTTGCGCGCTGCGGTACCAGAAGGATCTGAAGCTGTTGGAGTGTCCAAAGGAGGGACACGGAGATGGAGCAGGATCTGGAGGGGAAGGGTCTGAGGAGCAGCTGAGGGCACTCGGCTGGTTCAGCTGGAGCAGAGGAGACTGAGGGGAGACTCCTCGGGGGCTGCAGCTCCTGCCGAGGGGAGGCGGAGGGGCAGGGACTGAGCTCTGCTCTGGGACCAGGGACAGGACCCAGGGAAGGGCTGGAGCTGTGCCAGGGGGGTTGGGATGGATCTCAGGGAAAGGTTCTTCCCCCACAGGGTGCTGGGGCACTGCCCAGGCTCCCCAGGGCAGTGGGCACGGCCCCAAGGCTGCCAGAGCTCCAGGAGCGTTTGGACAACGCT